TTGACAAACCCTGGGCCAACCTAACCAGTACACTTTGGCCCAGTAGACACCACAATGCAGAGCCCAGCACCCAAATGTCACATTCCAAGCTAGTCAAGCTGATGAAAGATCAATAGTTGCATATGGAGGCCAGCTCATGGGCAGGGATCTTGATTGAAGAAAAAATCTTGAAGGAAATAATTTAGCTTGCAAAAAGAGTTAGACTTTTTCCTGCAGTATAGAGAAAAGGCACTCATCCTCTTAGGACACTAGCAACAAGTGAGTCATGCTGGGAGAAGGAAGGGTTGTACTGGGCTGACCCACAATTTTTTTGTTTACCAGTGTCCAAATCTTTCTGTAGGAGACAGTTTAACACATTCGTCTCTGAATTTCTGTGTGCCACATGAACAAGAAAATCATAGATTCATATGTCACAATCTGCTGGTTAAGGTCATATTGGAGAAATGATTGTATGCCTGCATGTATCCACTGAACCTTACTGGGTAAAAGAGTAGATCAGCCAAGTTAAATTACCGGTACATAGTTTTCCTTATGAGATAAACCAACAGCACAGATCAGTGCTGAGTGCTCCCGGAACCTTCCCTATAAGTACAAACATTCACATTCAGCCAAGTGTGAAAGTTTGTGAAGAGATCTTTCTGCAGCTGGATTATGCCTCTATATCTGACAGCTTTAGGTACTGTGACTGTACTTGATAATCTCCTTATTTCTGGTGTAAACACAAAGATAAGCAACAGTACTGCATTAAAGTGTATGTAAAGAGAAATTTAAAAAAATGCTTATGCAGTACATCTCTGCTACATAGGCGGTTTTTCCCAAATGCTATCTTTTGAACCACTTACCCTCCAGAGGATTTACTCCGCTTCCTGACCAGGCCATTTTTTGCGATACGTCACTGAGTTACTGTAACTGACAATTGCGCGGTCATGCAATGCTGTACGTAAATGAAATGTAGGTCCTTTTTTTTCCCACAAATAGAGCTTTCTTTCGGTTGTATTTGATCACCTGTGCATTTTTTTTTTTTTTTTTTTTTTTTTTTTTTTGCGCTTTAAATGAAAAAAGACCAACAGTTTTGGAAAAGAAAACCATTTTTGACTTTTTGCTATAAAAAATATCCAATAAAAAAAAAAATTTAAATCACATTTCTTCTTAAATTTAGGCCAAAATATATTCTGCTACATGTCTTTGCTAAAAAAAAAAAAAATTTTTTTAAAACGAGTCAATTAATTGGTTTAAGTGAAAGTGATATCATCCACAAATGGGATATATATATATATATATATATATATATATATATATATATATATATATATATATATATATATATATATATATATATATATACTAGTAATACATGGACGGTGATCAGTGACTTATAGCGGGACTGCGGCAGGCATTCGGACACTGGGTGGGAACTAACATCCCCAGTGACACTAATACAGTGATCAGTGCTAATAAAAAGCACTTACACTGTACTAATGACACTGGGCAGGAAGGGGTTAACATCTGGGGCGATCAAAGGGTTACCTGTGTTTTTTGTATTATGGAGACATGTTGCTTTGCATTTCTCTGCTGTGTAGAGAAATACAAAGAAGCGTGTCTTTGCTGACAGGAGAGAGACCTGTGTTATTTACTCAAAGGTCTCTCCCCTATCAGCTTTCCACGATGATCGCCGAGTGCCGGCTGGGACCTGGTAATTGACAATGCCCCCTACCCGGAAATGCAAATCAAGTGTATATACATGCACAGCCCTGTCGCAGTACTTCTACTATAGGGCGGCGGGCAAGCGACCACTTTAGGATCAGTATGTTGCACCTCCTTCCTGTCCAGGTCATTTTTTTCATTTTTCAATGCTTTGATAGTTTGACAGTCAATTACTCCATCATGCAACACTATGTAAATTAATTTTTATATAACTTTTTTTAGACAGATGGAACTTAACTTTTGATAGTATATAAATGAAAAAGAGAAAATCATAAACATTAACAAAAAAAAAAGAGGTTTCTCTTATATTCTGTTAAAATAAACATGCTAAGAGTATAAAAAACCCCCCCCCCCCCAAATTATCCCTTTTTGGAAAGTAGGAACTGCCAGCGATATCTTTTTGCCACAGTGTTTTTTTTGTTTGTTTTTTTTTTTAAAACGAAGAAACATGCTCATATTGAGGTGATTAAAAATATAAATAAAGGTGTGCTTTATCTTTAAAAGTCGGTCACCAAAGTCAAAGTTGAAAGGATGAAATTGCATTGCACTCAGATTGCAATATCTAGATATCATGGACAATAACTTTAAACCCCCCCCCCCCCCCCCCGCCCCCCCCCCCCCCCCCCCCATATCTCCAAAACAATCCCACATTTGCTTGATGGTCAGTGGCACATTAACCCCCTCCCTAAAACAATACCACAATCATTAATAGATGGTCACTGCCACTTTTGAACCCCACCTCACAACATTCCCACTACATTAATGGTCGGTGAACCTTTTACCCATTTCGCTGCCAAGTCCTGCGCTTCACTTTTAAACTCAGGTGGCCAGACCATTTTTGCAATTTTTCCATTTTTTTTTCTTACAGCTTTCAGAGTTTGTAAAAGACTCCCCCAAACCACACATTTTCTAAAAGCATAGGCCCAGTAGAATAAAAAGAAGGCGTTACTGATTATTTTTTATGGCCCTGTGATATTTGCGCAAATGTTTATAAAAAAAGTCGCTAAAAATACACAAAAATAATTCACGGACACAAACACAGCCAAACTTACAAAATTCCTGATACATTCCTACTAAAAAATAAAAACTAAAACTATATTGAGTCAATAAATATTTGTAAACTTTAAATTGCACCTTTTTGTGAAATGGTGAAACCTGAAGGTGCGCAGAATAGTAAATAAAAACAATTTACTCAAAATATCTGTGAGGTTATCATTTTTCACTTGCAGCCTTCAGAGTTTGTAAAGACTCCCCAAACCATAGATTTTCTGAAGGCATATGACCTATAGAAAAAAAAAAACCCTGCTATTTTTTTTTTTAATAGGCTCCGCAATAGTTGCGCAAATGTTTATCAAATCGCTATTTTCATTAAAAATACACTAAAAGCATTATCAGTGGACACTAATACCACATAACTCTACAAAATTCTTGCTAAATTCCTACTAAGACCTCATTCACATGGGGTATACTAAAGTGTATGTCTGTGGAGGGCCGTTTTTTACCTGCAGAGGGATGCCCAGGTGTTCCATGCATCCCCCTTGCAGGCAGTCGTATTCATGTCAATTGGAATGCAGCAGCTGCATGGGCACAACTGCTTCTTCCAATCTGACATCTCTGTGGGTGCAGAGACAAACACAGACAGTGTGAGCTCAGGAACTTGCACCAAGACACATGAATGTCAAATTGGGAGCAACCGCTGTGTTCATGCAGTTGCTACATGCCAATTGACATCAATGAAACTGCCTGCACAGGGATTCATCTAAGTGGGCAGCAAAGTGGCTAAATGGTTAGCATTTCTGCCTGGCAGTACTAGGGTCGTTTGTTTGAATCCCAACCATGGCACTACCTGCCTGGAGTTTGCATGTTCTTGTGGCTGCGTAGGTTTCCTCCAGGTGCTCTGGTTTTCTCCAACACTCCAAAGACATGCTGGTAGGTGAATTGGCTCTTGTCTAAATTGGCTCTAGTATATGTATGTATGAATGTAAGTAAGGGTTCTTAGACTGTATGCCCCTAAAGGGTTAGGGACTGACGTGAATGTACAATATATATGTAAAGCTCTGTGTAAGTTGACGACGCTATACAAGTACCTGTAATAAATAATAAACACGGCCTCGCAGTGGAGTATATGGTAGTATGCCCTGCATGAACGAGGCCTTACTGTTTTTATTTTATTGTTAATATTGTATAATTTTTTTCAGGAAGGGGCTTTGGAGAGATACTTGGTGTCTAAACAGTCAAGCGAACTGTGCTGTGGGATCGGTGCAGTGGAAGGGGGAAATAGGAGCAGTGGGGGAAGCAGAAGTTTCACTGACAGTGGGGGAAGCAGATTGTCATCCACTAATCAGAGTTAGTCTGCTGTTCAGCAGAGTCTGCTGGTGTGTTGGTATGTTTAGCAGAGTCTGCTGGACATTTCTGCTATAAGCTCATGGTCACTGAAGTGACCATAAGCTTGTAGCAAAAGGAGAAATGTCAGGTTCATACTGTCTACAGACCTGGCTAGCTGGGAGCAGTGCTGTAGGTTCATACGTCATATGGTCCTGGCAGCGGCGAAAGGGATAAAACCCTATTTGATTTCATTCTAACACCCACCGACCCACCCTAAATGAAAGCAGGATAAATACTCTGCAAGTACAGAAAATACTTATTGGTCAGATAGAAATGCACTCACTACCAAGTCTTATTGTGGGCTGACAACACCCTGCATTTTTGTGGACTGAATGGTGACAACCCTGTTCAGTTTCTTTGCTAAGCTACTCAAACCAACCCCTGTCCTATTCTACAGACTGATCCTTATGTAGTCCCAAGGTAACAACTAAGAAGGCTAATTAGACTCCTTGAGATAACAAATACTCACCACTGGTCCTTTATCTCTATATCCATCTAGCTCTCTGCACTCCCCGTCGTCTTGTATTTTTTGCCTTGCTTCCAGATAGAAAAACAACCCAGAGTAGACATGCCCCTGTTCCCTCAGATTTCCAGGGATATCTTGAACTAAATGTAATATCTGCAGTACCTTATGAATAAACTTGTTATAAACTTGATTTGTTCTTTGCTTATAACGTCTGTATGGAGATGTGCTTGTTTTAATATATTTTGTGCCCATGGGAGATACCTTATTGTATGTCTTGTTCTAGATCTGCTGCTTTCTGTTTCATAAATAAAAGAATTTAAAATGTTTCCATTGCATTATATATTTTACATATTCCATTATCTATCAGTTTAAGTTGTTCAGCTTCGTTTTTTTTTTATTGTAGAATTTTAATTAATGTGCTTTACAATGGTTTATTTTTCAACAGGAGGATGTTTCACTTAGTGGATATAATAAATATTTAGTTTGCCGTTCAGCTCCTGCCCCTCTTACTGCATCAGAAGAAGAGCTAAGGCAAATAAAGATTAATGAGGTAAAACTCTGGTTGTAACCATTTTTAGTTTTTATTTTAATTTCTGAAAACTGTTTTCACAGCAGTGTATTAAGAAGGAACATTCCCGTTTTACTCCCATCATTTAATCTGAACAGATATATCCTTTTCATACTGAATATTAAAAGTTAGTTTTTTTCAACTGCTTTGACGATATCACATATTGGCATTAATATATTATTTTGTTAACTTTCTTTTCATGTCCAACAGAAAAACCCGTTCTAATGTTTTTTTGTATTTGTTATAGCCATTCATCAAATATCAAAAAAAATAAGTTTATATCTAAAGTCAGAAAACATAAATGGCTCTCTTTAAATAATGTAAAAACACAGATTTGACCAAATAACTCCAAGCAGCCTATTAAATAAAAATTGCATGGTCCATCAAAATAAATATATTTAACAATGGAAAATTCATGTTTGGCTGGGGAACTGATGCTTTATTGCTGTACCTAAACACGGGTTATTTCTTCCAATCATGTATGGTTATGTCTAATATTTCAGATTCAAACGGACATTGGAGTAGACACAAAACAACAGACTCTCCAAGGGGTTGCTTTCCCGATACAGAGAGATGCATTTCAGGCACTGGAACAACTAAAAAAACAATAAACTAAACTATGTTCAGTTGGTATGTAGAACTTGATTTTTCATATTGGTTATTGCAAATTTAAATGTAAGATATATTTGATGCAAATGGTTTTATTAAGTCATGAAGTTTATATTGTACGTAATGTCACCATGATCATTTTGTAGGATAAGGCTGTTTTGACTGCACACATGACATTTGTTTTTGTTTTACCATTTGTAAGGTCTAGTACACATGTGTCAAACACAAGGCCTGCGGCCCACCAGATCATGTGGCCCTCACACCTCTCTTGCAGCTGTGGCACCCCCCTGGTCTCTGCCCCTACCTTGTCTCAGCAGTTGGCAGCAGAGACGAGCACAGTACTCCTCTTCCAGATCCTGCGCTTCTCTATACAGCCGTGGAGATGCTAGTTTCTGATCTCCCCCCTTCCTGTCTCAGCAGTAGACAGGAGGACAGAACTCTTGCTACAGATTCTGCACCTCTCCGTGCATCTGCAGCACCCTCTTGTCTCTGCCTCGCCTGGTCTCAGCATTCAGCAGACTCCTGCTGCGAACCCCAGCCCTCCTCTGGTCTTCTTCCAGACCCTGCACTATCTGCTTCCCAGCTCCACCCCTAGCTTCTTCCCAGCAGCACAAGGTAAGGGGGATGCACTGTGATGTAAGGTAGGGGGAGGGACTCTTGACATCTGCTTATAAATATGAGAATATTCCAATTCTATGTCAGTTAAAAATGAGGGTCATGCACCGCTGGTATCATCCACAAGAAACTCTGAGACTGCTCAGAGAGTACCATGGCAGAACCATGTTCTGTCTGAGCAGTCTCCAATAATGTTTCTTGCACATGATACTAGTGGTGTGCTGTGCTTCTTTTCAGATTTCATCATCCACTACAGAAGTATGAGAGGGCTCCATGACAGTCTTCATCTGCCCTTCACAGCTGAAGTCTTGAGTTATTACTAAAACAAATAATCGAATTCAGAGGCAATTGTTTAATATGATAAAGAGTAGATACATATCTATAGTTTTACAGATACAACTGGCCCTTTAAGGGCAACCATAAGGCTGATGTGACCTGCCATAAAATGGAGTTTGACACTCCTGGTCTAGTAGTTGCCATGTTTTTGTTCATCTGTGAATTCATTTTTTAAAGTGAAACTTTGAAAAGTATGAACATGCAGCCTTGTGGTTTATAGGGAACAAGCCTGTCTGTAAAGCTAGGTTGACATTAGTGTGGATGTGGGAAAGCGTTTAAATTGCACTCATTCTCGCACTTACATGCAGCCGATTCCCAAAAGCAGTGGAATCACATGTCAAAGCACCATGCGGTTTCCGTGCGGCTGCGTTTTTATAAAAGCGCAGGAAAACGCAGGCACATTCAAATGTGTCTGTTCAAACGCGGCATGTAGAACCACACTAATGTGAACCTAGCCCAGCAATGGGCAAACTACGGCCCGGCGGACCTTTTAATCCGGCCCGCGGAGCTAGGCTCCCCTCACAGTCCGCCCTGAAGACCGGTGTAGCATGAAAATCTGTCTCCTATGAGGATCTGTCCCCCTCGACGTATCTGCGCATGTGCCGGAGATCGCCGATCGGCTGCTAATGCCTGAAACTGGCACATGCGCAGATACGTCGAGGGGGACAGATCCTCATAGGAGACAGATTTTCATGCTACACCGGAACGGCACGGGAACACGGCGAGAGGAACGCGCGGAGCAAAGGTAAGTGAATTGACACAGGGGGGACTTGGGGACTTAATATGGGGGATGAATTAATATGGGGAATGAATTACTATAGGGGGGGTGAATTACTATGGGGGATGAATTACTATATGGGGGATGAATTACTATATGGGGGATGAATTACTATATGGGGGATGAATTACTATATGGGGGATGAATTACTATGGGGGATGAATTACTATATGGGGGATGAATTACTATATAGGGGATTAATTACTATATGGGGGATTAATTACTATGCTTACTATGGGGGAATATTACTATACTTACTATGGATGACACATACACATCATTCATCTACTCTTGGTCCGGCCCCCGGGTCCAATATATGAACCCATTGCGGCCCTCAAGTCAAAACGTTTGCCCACCCCTGACCTAGCCCTTAAGCTAGAAGCACATTTTCATTTTCTTCTTCCAATGACTGTAAATAAACTTTGTTTTACTTGAGATTTTGAAGCAAATTCTTGTAGGGTTTCAGCAGATTTCATAGTAATCTATAGATATTATTGGTTACTTTACCTTGTAATCACTAATATTTAGTATTTAATGGAGTGCCTGATTCATGATTTTATATCACAGAAGAGCTATGGCATAAACAAAAGGTTGAACAGATCTCTGTGAAAAGTCTGCATTGGGCTATTGATTGCACACTTACCTTTACACACACTATATTGGCTGTGTGGTGTGGGCACACGTCTGAAATGTGAGGAGAAACACAAGAAAGCTATATGATTTCTGTATGGAATTTCAGCCTCATGCTGCTTGGTGCAGGTATTGTATGTACTGTAGAATAGTTAGTGGTCCAGGTTGCTGATTTACTTTTTTTGCATTTCCTAAATTACTGAAAAGGAACTGTCGTGTTCCAGTCGACATAGATTAGCAACAGCTAAATGCTGAATTAACTCTGGTAAGACAAACCAATTCTGATATAAATTGCATAACTTGTCTGCTGATGAATGAATTTTGTATACTAATAAATTAACAAATTGAATCTGTGTGTGTCTTGACTTTTGATTTATTGTTCTTACCAAAAACCTTCGTAGATGGTAATCTCTGTGAGTCCAGAAATATCATTTATTAGACATGGGCAGCTTGTGAACAAGCACCTTTGCATGTTATTGCAAATCCATGAATTGCCATTTTTACTGAGATAATTTGATGTCCCCAATCTGCATATTTTTTTCATTCACAGTACTTCAGCCCATAAGCAGCATTAATAACTTGCCATATTGCACTGAGTAACTTTTCTGTGCGCAAATTTGAATTATGTATTTATATGGTGGCCACATAATGTACAGTGTGTTGCAAAAACATTACTTTGCAAATGTGAACATGCAGCAAATTACTTACATGCAAATGTATTGTATGTACAATATGCTTTGTATTCTACAAATTGTCAATATTAACAGTTGTATTTATTGTCTACAGAAAATAGATATAAAAAATGAAGTCATTGTTTTGGCAAACACCGCATACACAGAAGTGAAGGATTTACCGGCAAGGATTCCGAAGGATGCTGCACGCTATCACTTTTTCTTGTACAAGCATTCACATGAAGGAGACTATTTAAATTCTTTAGGTACTGTTTTTAGCTTCTTCATGTATTAGCATGTAAGACATCACTAAACTAGGTGGGTTGCATTGTCAAAAGTGTTGGAAGGGAAAATTTCCCTCTAATTCTCCCATGTTGTGGCTGTGAGTTTTGCATTCAGACGTTGCCTTTTGTCAGTACTTTCCTGTTGCTGTAGCATAGTTTTGGGAAGACTGCAGAAGTTTTGGAACCCATTGTGATATTTTATTTATTTTTTGCTATGTTTGAATGGGAAGATTTACCTTAAAGCCCCACTCCAGACTTTCAGCTGGACAGCTGTTAGCAGGTGTCCACATCATGTCACTACAACTTTCAATAAGTACAATGGGCATTTAGATTTTTATTTTTTACTGCCAGTGATCAGTTGGAGGAGGTGAAGGGGGATAATTTTATTCCAGAAATGGACTTTAAAATATCCTGACCCTGAGACACAAAAGGAAGTGAAAAATCTTTTGCCTGCAAGCTGAACAGTAACCCAGTCTTAGGGCAGCACAGTGGCTAAATGGTAAGCACTTCCGCCTGGCAGTACTAGGGTCGTTGGTTTGAATCCCAGCCACTGCACCACCTGCTTGGAGTTTGCATGTTCTCCCTGTGCCTGTGTGAGTTTTCTTCACGTACTCCGATTTTCCTCCCACACTCCAAAGACATGCTGGTAGGTTAATTGGATCCTGTCTAAAAAATTGTCCCTAGTATGTTTATGTATGAATGTAATCTAGGGACCTTAGATTGCACGCCCCTTGAGAGTTAGGGACTGATGTGAATGTACAATATAAATGTGTAAATTGGTGGCACTATAGAAGTACCTGAAATAAATAAATAGTTATCCCCAGAACCAGTGACCATAGAGAAGATTTCTCTTCTGACGACAAGTGTAAAATTTTGGCATTCCCATAATCCTCTCTCTCCTCAACAATGGTGATCAGAACAGATATAGAGGATGAATCTTCCTAAAAGGGACAGACCGTAAATAAACCTGCCAGTGGTTCTAACCTTTCCAAAGTAAAAAGATACTTTAAACTGATCTGTAATTACTTCTGTGATTCCAATAACATTGTGCGCATTTTGTTTTTTCTTCAGTGTTTATTTATTCAATGCCTGGCTATGCATGCAGTATACGCGAACGTATGCTGTATTCCAGCTGTAAAAGCCCTTTGTTAGATGCTATTGAAAACCAGCTGATGATGGAAATTACCAAAAAGGTAAGTTTACCTTCTTTGTGCTATTATTTGTTGGAATAGTGTTTATGTATTTTGTATTTATGTATATATAACGTATTTACATACAGTGGGGATCGAAAGTTTGGGCACCCCAGCTAAAAATTTGTATTAATGTGCATAAAGAAGCCAAGGAAAGATGGAAAAATCTCCAAAAGGCATCTCAAATTACAGATTAGACATTCTTATAATATGTCAACAAAAGTTAGATTTTATTTCCATCATTTACACTTTCAAAATAACAGAAAACAAAAAAATGGCGTCTGCAAAAGTTTGGGCACCCTGCAGAGTTAATATCTTGTACTGCCCCCTTTGACAAGTATCGAAGCTTGTAAACGCTTTTTGTAGCAAGCCAAGAGTCTTTCAATTCTTGTTTGAAGTATCTTTGCCCATTCTTCCTTACAAAAGTCTTCCAGTTCTTTGAGATTTCTGGGCTGTCTGTCACGCACTGCTCTTTTAAGGTCTATCCATAGATTTTCAATTATGTTGAGGTCAGGAGATTATGAAGGCCATGGCAAAACCTTCAGTTTTGATGTAATCCCCCGTGGATTTCGAGGTGTGTTTAGGATCATTATCCATTTGTAGAAACCATCCTCTCTTTAACTTCAGCTTTTTCACAGATGGCATCAAGTTACCATCCAAAATTTGCTGAACTTTTATTGAATCCATTTTTCCATCTACTCGTGAGATGTTCCCTGTACCACTGGCTGCAACACAACCCCAAAGCATGATTGATCCAACCCCATGCTTAACAGTTGGACAGAGGTTCTTTTCATTCAAATTCTGTGCCCCTTCTCCAAACGTACCTTTGCTCATTCCGGTTTTTTATGCACATTAATACAAATTTTTAGCTGGGGTGCCCAAACTTTCGATCCCCACTGTATGTGTGAGTTCTTGTCCTTTTTTTTCATTTCCTGTCCAGTTTTAAAAATCATAGTGCTAATTAGTAATCGTATTTGTTATTGTAATAATGAGGGGTACGCTTAGTCTAGCCACAGTATGTTTGTATTGTAATCTTTGTACCAATGTGCTGAGTAAATGGTACTACTAATGCTATGTGGAGTGGAACAGTGTTCTACACCTTAGTGAACTGTACTAGCATCAGCACAGAGTATAATCGTGCAAAGTATTCCCTACGGAATCTTTGCGTGTTACCAACTCACACTGTGGCAGTTGTATGTTTCAGTGCTAACATTTTATTTTCATATGTTGTGCTTGATGGTATATATTGCATGCAAACAGTGGCTCAACCAGCACTCTTCAGTCTTTTAATTTTCATTTACACAGATTGAAATAGACAATGGGGATGAACTAACTTCAGACTTCCTCTATGATGAAGTACACCCGAAGCAACATGCACACAAGCAAAATTTTGCAAAGCCCAAAGGCCCAGCAGGGAAGAGGGGTATAAGGAGGCTGATCAGGGGTCCAGCAGAAGCTGAAACAACCAGTGACTAGATCAACATCTAGAAACAAGACATCATGTGTGGAGATACAGGACTGTAATCATTCCATGCCTTTATTTTTGTAGGCACAATACAAAGTGCCTCATGATCAAAAGAGTCTGATGGGAACAGCTCTTGTTACCTATAGCAACCAATCATATTCTCCCATGTTGCACTGAAAGCGTAAAGGGAGAATTTGATCGGTTTTAGTGCGCAAATGGCACAAATTCTGTTTTCAGATGCTTTTAGTCATGAGGCCCAATGTCTCTTTAGGTGTGTCATTCCATGTAGTAAACTCCACTTGCACCTTTTATGTTACTCCTTTTTTAATTTCAGTCTGGAAGAATATAGTGTTCTAGTGTGTTATGAAGACACACATAAATGGATGAAGTAGAGATGTGTGGCAGTCCATTACTGATCTACACAGTGTACAGTCTTTCAAAATAGTGATCGACAGTACAGCATGTCATTGATGTGCTGGTTTGTTAAAGTAGATTGCTTGATAACATGAAATGTAGGATTCTTTTTTTTTTTTTCTTCTTCTCCCTTTCTTTAATTTTTATAAACGAATCAACCCACTTGACATTTTTCCTTTTTTAGGTATGGCATTAGGTTCTGATTTGGTTGATGTATCCACATACATGTTTTTAATGTTAAAATAGGTTGGTAATATGCAATAGATTTTGATTCTGCTCTAGCTCTGTAATATAAGTAGAGAAAACACTATTATTTTTTTTTAAATGTGTAGATTTTATGATTTACTTGGATTTAGTATCTTGCAAAACCTAATCTGATCTGTGGCTGCCTGGTGCAGCCATTCCAGTAACCAGCACTCAGTAAGTATTTACCTCAGTCCTTCAGTAGAACATCTCGTACTTGTCTCTACTTCACTTGATATATGGTGCATTGCCTCTGGTATTATTCACTAGGAACACTGCCGTGCACCAAATCCCAACCATTGCTCCTACACTTCTATGCACATCATAACAATGACTGGTTGCCTGTGGCTGATGTATACACAAAGCTGTAGAAAGCCAAAGTGCACTGTCTCTCTTTTAATCCTTGGATATTTCTGTTAAAGGGAAATGACTTCATTGAGATGGATTGACAAATTATAATCTGGAGGAATATGTTTTACATCTATGCATTTAAATAGGTGGCAGCTCCCATGTTGGATACATGGATGTGATCTATGCAACACTAAATGTTCCACCCTTTAGGAATAAAAATCAGAAAAGCACTACTTTGCTGTGATGCAAATATATTAAAACTTCATTTTGAACACAATGGAAATCACATTTTTTGTTCATCCCACCCAGGGAAATAAGTAATAATTTTACTATCCATGAAACTTGAAGCTAATGAAGCATTCATGGTGCTCATAATTATTTTAGTAGGAAATACTAACAAGGTATATTGGTGTAATCTTAGACATGACTTAAAACAGAGTTCTTCTGAATTAGACTGGAGAGTTGAAGCATTGTTATGTCTAAGAGCCTGCAAAATAGGTGATGTGTCTTTTTATTTGCGTCGTCATTAAAGGTCTCTACAGCACGCAGAACATCCTCCTTGATCCAAAAGTAACTGTTTAAAGTGCCTCTGTCAGCACAGAGTCACTTGTCTAGAATTACATACCTGCTCAAAGAAGAGTCACTATAATTATCTTTAAGGCTGACTCATTTGTTGAAATGCCACCTTTTCGCTGCTTGCTAGCTGCTGCAGGTATTGTAACAATTTGAGTTAAATACTGGTTTTCCTGCCCACATAATTTTTCCTCCTGCCAGTTCGTACAGCCTGCAGTGAATGGGCCCCCCACTGAAAAAACCATGGCATGTGACAGGGAAGCTGGTGCTCTACACAGAAGTGTGAATTGCATGCAGCAGAGGTGCATTTTTAGCAAACTGGCTGCCAAAAACCTGAGTATAGTGACTTTTCTTTTAGCAGATAGGTTATTCTATTGCAAATAGTCTCTTCTGCTGATGACAGTTAGCAACAGTAAGTACCAGAAAATATTAGTTCCATAACTTGACTGTGTAAATTGTCACTGCTGTTTGTGTTGTTTGGCAGTTTTACCTTTGGAAACCTAGCCACTGTGTGATTGTGTGAGTAGGAAAATCATCATAATAATGTTGGCATTTTTCTACATAATACATTAAATACAATATGGGCCATAAAAATGTGAGGATATAATAACTGTTGAGGCCATCTTACTTTATAGTTACAAATTCAGGTTTAGCTAAAATTGTCAAGATCTAAAATGCAATGTTTAATTCTGCAGCACTATGAAACAGATTTGTATTGACAAATCCTTCACTAAGCACTTCCTTCAACTTTATAGTATAGTAGAAATCTCTGTAGGCACACATTGGAATATTTAACCTATAGCTCCCTGCTTAGAACAAAGAACTGGTGCAAGATTCCAGCTTAGGACTTTAATAGTCTGAACTGGAATGTTGAAATATATACAGCACAATATATTATTATGTAATATCCAGCAATGTTTAGTGGAGTGTCCCAATAAAATTTCTAAGGCATTAATTATGTTTTATATAATAGATTAGCTACTTCCACACAGTGAAACGCCCATACACTGGAAGATACTTTGAGCTTTTGATGAACAAATTGTTAAAAATCATTCTGCTGTTGTAGAGTAATCCACAAAGCTTTGCTTTTATATAACCAAAGATCATTCTGATACATTTTGTACCACAAACCTATTTTGACTGCATTCGGGAATTCAGTTTGTACCCTCTCTGAGAAAAAAAGTACTTCTTTTCTTGAGGCCATTGCAATATACTTGAATGATCAAGTCCAGTCTGTGAATGGACATGACTACATCTAGTTTTTATATTGCAGCTTTCTCCGTCTAAAAGCTGCAGCACCTTTCTTTCAAAGGCTTTATCTTTAGATGTAGTGTGTTTGTGTGTGTTTGCTATATAATGAAATGATTTTGTAAGAATGGCATGGTTTTACAGTTGATGCTATTCTGTTATGCAACTTTATAATTCTAGACTAATTGCAATAATATTTAAATGTAGTAGTGCAAAGTTGTTTGATATGTACATATGATCATCAAATGATGGGGTGGATTTCAAAGGTATCCTACACATGATGAAGAATATTTGTGAATAAACCTTTGTTAAAAGCATCTGTGTGTTTGCTTCCTGTTTTCCCCAAAATATTTTGATAATTAATGTTCTTTAACTAAAGAACATACATTCCATGTTAATAATTATACTACCAAAATTAGTGTGTGCTGTAAATTGCCTCTAGCATTGCTCCTGGTTTTTCTTGCTGGAGGCCACCATTTTGTTGAAGCCCAGAGCAATCATTTCCCTGTTGGAACCCCCCCCCCCCCCTCCCCTCTTTGGTCTCAAAAACTATATGTCACTTTCTTCAATTAAAATACAGTCAGGTCCATAAATATTGGGACATCGACACAATTCTAACATTTTTGGCTCTATATACCACCACAATGGATTTGAAATGAAACGAACAAGATGTGCTTTAACTGCAGACTGTCAGCTTTAATTTGAGGGTATTTACATCCAAATCAGGTGAACGGTGTAGGAATTACAACAGTTTGCATATGTGCCTCCCACTTGTTAAGGGACCAAAAGTAATGGGACAGATTAATAATCATAAATCAAACTTTCACTTTTTAATACTTGTTTGCAAATTCTTTGCAGTCAATTACAGCCTGAAGTCTGGAACGCATAGACATCACCAGATGTTGGGTTTCATCCCTGGTGATGCTCTGCCAGGCCTCTACTGCAACTGTCTTCAGTTCCTGCTTGTTCTTTGGGCATTTTCCCTTCAGTTTTGTCTTCAGCAAGTGAAATGCATGCTCAATCGGATTCAGGTCAGGTGATTGACTTGGCCATTGCATAACATTCCACTTCTTACCCTTAAAAAACTCTTTGCTTTTGTAGTATGCTTTGGGTCATTGTCCATCTGCACTGTGAAGCGCCGTCCAATGAGTTCTGAAACATTTGGCTGAATATGAGCAGATAATATTGCCTGAAACACTTCAGAATTCATCCTGCTGCTTTTGTCAGCAGTCACATCATCAATAAATACAAGAGAACCAGTTCCATTGGTAGCCATACATGCCCACGCCATGACACTACCACCACCATGCTTCACTGATGAGGTGGTATGCTTAGGATCATGAGCAGTTCCTTTCCTTCTCCATACTCTTCTCTTCCCATCACTCTGGCAACAAGTTGATCTTGGTCTCATCTGTCCATAGGATGTTGTTCCAGAACTGTGAAGGCTTTTTTAGATGTCGTTTGGCAAACTCTAATCTGGCCTTCCTGTTTTTGAGGCTCACCAATGGTTTACATCTTGTGTTGAACCCACTGTATTCACTCTGGTGAACTCTTCTCTTGATTGTTGACTTTGACACACATACACCTACCTCCTGGAGAGTGTTCTTGATCTGGCCAACTGTTGTGAAGGGTGTATTCTTCACCAGGGAAAGAATTATTCGGTCATCCACCACAGTTGTTTTCCATGGTCACACTGCTGGAGAGTGGTAATCTGCCCTGGATGGATGACAGCTGGTGACTTCATCCGTATGCAGAGTTCCTATCCCCAGAGCACCTAGGAGTAGGTCTTATATACTCCAACGCACAATCATTTGTGCTATCTGGTTAGTGCATTGTACGCTCATTCTTCACAGCCACGGCAGTCACGAATATTAATAGTTACTCATTTTATCACTATTGTCACGCTGCACCTTATGAACTATACCTAAGACTGATCCTCTGGTGTTTTATTAACATATTTGTCCATCATTAGCATTATATAGCGCCGCATTTTTACTGTTTTGTTTGCATATTTTGGAGGATTTGAGGTTTTTCCACTTCTATGCTGGCTGCTCCCTTTTTCTTTTACTACCCAGGCGCTCATATGTCATCGTTTTTATTAAGATTGTAGACCTGCACAAGGCTGGAACTGGATACAAGATCATCAGCAAGAAGCTTGGTCCCAGGAGGCTTTGGGATAATCTAAAGTGCATATGCCACGTTGCATCATCAAGGAGCCAGCTGAAAAAAAATAAGGGAGAGAGAGCCAGCTCTCAGATGACGCAAGAGGAACATGGCGGCACATGATTGTGTAAGCAGCAGCAAAATAGTGGGTTACTGCAGAGCATCGTTGTACATGTGAGTGTTTATGAAGCACAACCCAGCAAAAAAAAAGGTAAGAGGGAGTATAAGAAAAAGGGTGGGTGGTGAAGTTCCTTTTTAAAAGCGGTAGTAAACTCCGCTTTTGAACTTCTATGTACACGTAAGCCTATATTAAGGCCTACCTATAGGTACAGTGAATATCTCCTAAACTTAGTGTCAAATTGAAAGCAATTGGTGATGCCACTGGCATATGCGTGCTGTGCTCTGAATTGATGGAACACAGAGTATTCCGCCAGTTCAGAGCTCTGTTCTGCGGCCATGACTCCGGAGCACATTGCAGCCCAACCATTTAAGCGATAGGAGTCCACAAACTTAGAAGGAAGACCAGGTGAAGATGGAAGTGGTGACAGCGCACGGCTGGAGGGCTTTGTTTTAAGGCAAGTCTGCCATAATGTGCTAGTATGTGGTACATACTAGCACAATATGGCTTAAACTACCTGGGGGCCCATTTTTTTTTTTTTTTTTTTTTTTTTTTTTTTTTTTTTTAATAATAGGAGTTTACTATTGCTTTAAGTACACCTATGTGGTACCCTAAAAGTGGGTGCATATAGTCAGAAAAAATAACTCAGGTATGCAGTGGCATTCAACTAAGCGCTAATAACACACTAGCATCATTCATTAAACCACCACCAGCATCAGCCAGAACTGTTGAGAACGCTATGAGTGAAGTTCAGCTGCAATTGTAAACACCACAGCAAGTCATAGCTATCAGACTCAGGTAAGTTGCTGGGGGTCAACTAATATAGATTAGGTGAGCTAGGTAGGGTGGGTAAGTGTACTTTGCCTTAAAGTAAAACTATAGGCAAAACTTAATTGTCAATAGAGTAAGGGAGGGTATAGCCTTTGTAATGTTTTTTTTGCCATCTTTGTCTCATTAGGGAGATTTCCCTTCACTTCCTGCCCCATAGTCAAACAGAAAATCTCTGCAAATTAGAGTAATTTCTTGGGGACCCATTGCCCATTGGAATATTTTCCCTCCATTACTATTCTGGGAACAACCCAAAATTTGTGATTTTCTTTAACTTTTTCAATGATAATGGAAAAACCAGACAAATATAGAGGGTGAATCTCCCTAATGGGGACACAGAAAGGCATAGGAAACAGCCAGGTGTTCTAATCCATCTCCACTCTATCACAAATTTTTTTGAAGTTTTCCCTTTTAGTTATACTTTAATGTTCCTTGCCCTTTAACCTTAATCCCAAAATGGATCCAAACACTAACCTTTACCCACATTTAATTCCAGATCTACCATACTGATTCACTACAGTTCTGCCCCTTCTCCCCAGCCCTGAACCTATATGCACTGTGTGACAGGCGCAGCGTCAGACCCCCAGCCCTTCTCACCAAACTCGTAACTGAAGGACTAGCCAATCTAAAACCGCGATGTCACGTGCGTAACAATGCTGCACCCTGCACACCGATTTTCCAGCTAATTGGACCACAATCGCTGTACCATCAGCCTGAATGCGATTGTTACTGGGTCAGGTTAATTACGTAATTAACCCTTCACACTGCCACCACCTCCTTTTTATACAGAGAAAGAGGAAACTCAGCAATACACTAGGATGATTCGTTAACTGTCAGTATCCCACTATCTCTACAGACCGGTTATACAGAGGGTTAAATACTCATAGTAGCGCTCTCCAGCGGCAGGCATTCGTAAGTTACATTCAGGAGCTATAGAAACAGTTAAACAATTTTAGAAAGTAAAATTTATTACCAAAAGGTTGAAAGGGTGCAGTAAAAATATTTACAGAAAGATGTAACATATATATATATACACACACATACACAGATAACAGAAGTTTAGGTAAATAAGTATTTGCCAAATAAATGCCTGGGGTTAAGCAGTTTCAAGTCTGATGAGCTAAAAAGGGATTTCTGGTCTCGCACTCAGTTTCGTTGGTACAGCACGATTCTCCTTTGCTCTCGGTTTGCTAGATTGTAAATCGCCGAATGTCCCCACTTCTCTGACTACACACAAAACATCACAGCTTCTTTTCTCTACACAAAATCAACTGGGTGTCTCTTCCCACAATGGACAAGCCAAGCCTTATTTGGCAAAGAATTGTCATGCAAGGGCTCAGCATCATATGCTGATTGCATTCCTGAGGGAGGGGGAATGAGGGGATACATGAAGACTTCTTAATACAGGGAGAGCCGTGCCTGGCTCTTGTATGCACGACGGTGACACACTGCATTTAATTTAAAAGGTTATAACCATTTGTGTACCACAATAGGGCTGCTCAATATTAGGACTGAGACACCATGCACTGTCTTTTCTCTGACATTCAACATTATCAGCAGGTTTTTTTCATCATTGCTGGGCATATTTTAAAGAATGCTGAATAACTCCTTTTTATAGTAGGGAAATATATATACATACACCTACCGGGCAAAAAAAATTGTATTGAACATGTCACTTTTTCTCAGCATATATATTTCTAAAGTTGCTGTTGAGATGAACTTTTCTCCATGTTAGTAACAACCCATGCAATCTATACATAGAAACCAGAACAAATAAGTTCAGAAATTAGTTTGTGTAATAAAATGAAATGACACAGAGAAAAAGTATTGAACACATGAGGAAAGTGAGGTACAAAAAGGCATGGAAAGCCAAGACACTAGCTGAACTCTATCAGTAATTAGACAGCAATATCAGATGGTTCAGTCTCAACTGATGGTCTATAAAAAGGTGTCTCATTACCAAAGTGTCAAACAAAAAAAACATCACATGATGGATAAAAGCAGCTCTCTCAAGACCTTTGTAACCTTAGTGTTGCAAAACATACTGATGGCATTGGTTACAGAAGGATTTCTAAACTTTTTAGAGAGCACTGTTGGGGGTCATAAAATGGAGGTGGAAAGAACATCATTTCACCATAAACTGGCCATGACCAGGTGCTCCTCGCAAGATTTCTGACAGAGGAGTGAAAATAATTATCAGAAGAGTTGTCCAAGAGCCCAGGACCACTTGTGGAGAGCTTCAGAAAGATCTGGAATTAGCAGGTACAATTATTTCAAATAAAACCATAAGTAATGCACTCAACCACCCTGGCCTGTATGCACACTCACCATGAAAGACTCCATGCGGAAACATCATGAAACATGGTTTTCTACTGTTAAAAGCAGTCTTTCTCCAGGAGCGAGCCTCTTCAGCAGCTACATTTTCAGTGGTAAAAGCTTTTCCTGGCACCTTTCACTACGGCTTGTACAGGCTAATAATCAAATCCTCTATAAGTAAGCCAAACACTTAACTTTAGTCTGAATATTTAGTCTTTATGATATCAATAACATAGCAGGATCCATAACTGATATGATTGGTTCCTGTAGAAATGCCCATAGCATGTCTCTTCTGCAATAAAAGAGCTGTCCGCTTGCTGATTTCTTCAAAGTAAATTTAGTTCTGATTTAAGGTAAAAGTTCAAAGGAAGTCGGCATCGCTCCAAGCTCCGTGAATATTTTTCAGGTCTTTCGCTGCATCAGGTGCCAGCTTCCATGAGCTCGTCCCACTCAACATGAACAGAAATGCAGAAAACGAAGTCGCACTGTGTGAATGTCATTCTGTAGGATTTATTCAATGTAACAGTCTTCCAAGCAGTCCCTAACCTAAGTCATGCCCCTCTAGTTTAAAAATAATTACTGTCTCAATAACTTATTTACTCAAAATATACTATATTTTCACTTTACCAAGACAGCATAATCAAGAAGAAGACAGAGAAGAGTTTATATATGATTTGTCCTGATTGTCAGGTTAAGGCATTTGACCTCTAGTGAAAAAAAACTGTCCCTGTTACTTCAGAGCTTAAAGCTGTGAAATATAAAATACCATATTATGTGCAAAAAGAAATAAAAGCTTGCTTTGATCAGGAAGCAGAAGATGAAGAAGAGGTAATATCCTCCAGAGTATGCAGCACCTACGAAAAGGGAAAAAAAAAAAAAAAAAAGTGTCACGCTCCAGGCTTCATATTTAAAGATAATGGTTACTTATTATATATAGTACATACTGTGATAACGTTTGGCCTTTTGTTTTTCATTTGTTCAAGCACTGACTGGCAAGGCAGTACATTTTTTCTAACAAGCTGAATTCCACATCTCCCATCTTCTTGTCCACACATTCTTCAAGAGTTTTTTCCTCCTCCTCAATTTCTTCTTTAATGTCAAGCTTTAAACAGGAAAATAGACAAGAAGGGAATTTACTATAACTGGAGCAGCCAGAATCTAGAACAGCTGTATATGGCAACCAATCAGCTTCCATCTTTCATTTTGAAAGTTTAACTGAACAAGCTGAAAACAGAAACAAATTTAATACTATGCACAGCTGTTCCAGATTCACTGTTCCAGTTTTAGTAAATCCCCCCACAGTGCTTATCCAATGCACACATTAAAGCAATAAATCCAATTGCAGTAAATAATGCATCACTCTAATTTTGGCAGCATCAAGATTTACCAGCATTCAGTATTTTTTTTTTTTTTGCTATTCATATGGTTATCGGAATTCAGGAGAATTTGCAGGCAACAAATGAAACATACAATATAAATTAATGCTAAATAGAAAAGGTGCTGTCAAACAATTCATTGAATTTTTCTTCATGTGAATTCTTTGTAATGACCTACAGTTAGTTATAGTGTAGTTTATTAAAGGGTTATTAGTAGCGTGTGAATCCTAAAACCTGCGCTGTATAACTTCCTCAAAAGTTAGAATGTGATTAGTGAGATAAGAAGCAGCGGGAGAGGAATTCTCTTCTGCTCCTCAATTACAATCAAGGCCTCAGTACACCACATTACATAGGGAGGGTGGTTTGATGAAGTGATGCACTACAAGATCCCTGGATGAAAAAAGAAGAATTTTGACTTGCCTGTAAATTCCATATCTTGGCGCATGGTACAGTACACAGGAAAGTATTCATAGGCGTTCACCTGGTAGAACTTTGCAAAAGCATGAACAGAGGCCAAGGCAGTGGCCTTCAGAAGCTAGGCTACAAAGAGGCCTGGTGCCAGTAAGCTCAGGAATTTCCACCAATCTGGTGGAATGGGCATGTAAAGGCACAGGAGATTTTTCCTTCACAGTGTAAGCGGTAGCAATCAGATTTCTTATCCATTAAGTGATGGTGGATTAAAAAACAGGGTGTACCTTGAAAGGTCCTGAGAACAGGACAAACGGGGAATCCATCTTACTAATCAAAGCTTTTGCTCTTTGAGGTAGACTCTAATGGCTCTGATTACAATCCAGGCACTAAAGAGAGATTTCCTTTTGAGGTTTTAGAGCAGGGAATAAGAAGGGTAGGACCATGTCCTCATTAGGGTGGAAGACTGATACCACCTTAGAAAAAAAAAAGGATGGTCTTGCACGCAAACCAACAAAGAAATTTGTGAAAAGAGATTCACAAGAAAGCAGCTACATTATGAACAGAATGCGATACTCAGAAAAATTTCCAAAAATGATGCTTTTTTTACACATTAATAATTGACAATCAGGCAATCACCCTGGTTAACCATCACCTCAGTATGAGACAATACACACAGACCTAAAACCATTTAAAATGACACCAAGACCGGTCTGGATATAGAAGTGCTGCAAAGGCTGTGACAACCATAGTCTAGAGCATTTGCAGCACCGCACATTGGTTACACTCCCTGTAGGAGGTATTTTCAAAAAATTGTACCATAGGTATATAATATCACATGCTATGCATATAGGCAAATACAGTTACCACGTAGAGAGAAGCATAACCCTAAGCCTATAAGAAACCTGTGCCCTGCAAGCATCACCTTTTGACGGCATTAGAAATACTCCTTTAGACAACCTCTCCTGAAGCGTAGACTTTAAGGTTACTCTCATGTCTGTCAAAAGTGTTTTTGGGCTGGGGACTCTCTCTCTCTTATAAGTAGTCTTGCTTGCAAGACCAGTTAGTAAAAAATAGGTTTAGAGGTTCATATATAAATTACTGTATCACCCAAAAAATAAAGGGGGGGGGGGGGTTGATGTGAGATACACCTTAACAAAGTTTATTTTACAAGGTAATGCAAAGCCAGAGGTCAAGGCTGAAACCTGACCTGATGATAGATTTCTCTAGAAGTGGCTTTTCCTACTTTTACTAAGGTAGCAATAACAAACTCAGAGACCCCTCTATCTCTTAATTTGTCCCTAAACCAAAAATCAAGGTAATCATAAAAGCATCCCCATTACATGATTCAAAATATATACAGGTGCATCTCAGTAAATTAGAAATATCATCAAAAAGTTCATTTATTTCAGTAATTAAATTCAACAAGTGAAACTCGCATTTCATATAGATTCATTACAAACACAATGATGTATTTTAAGCATTTCTTTCTTTTAATTTTAATGATTATGGCTTAGAGCTAGTGAAAACCCAAAATTTAGTACCTTGGAAAATTAGAATAATACATAAGGCAATTAAAAAAAGTAGGATTTTTAACATAGAAATGTTGGCTTACTGAGACGTATGTCCATGCACAGTATAGTATGCACTCAATACTTGGTCAGGATTCCTTTCGCATAAATTACTGCATCAATGTGGCGTGGCATGGAGTCAATCATCCTGTGGCACTGCTGAGGTGTTATGGAAGCCCAGGTTGCTTTGATAGCGGCCTTCAGCTCATCTGCATTGTTGGGTCTGGTGTCTCTCATCTTCCTCTTAACAATACCGCACAGATTCTCTCTCTTTTGGCAGTATGGGCAGGTGCCAAGTCCTACTGGAAAATATTAGCATCTCCATAAATCAGGTGAGCAGAGGGAAGCATGAAGTGCTCTAGAATTTCCTGATAGAGGGCTGCGCTGACTTTGGACTTGATAAAACTCAGTGGACTAACAGCAGATGACATGGCTCCCCAAATTATCACTGAATGTGGACATTTTACACTGGACCTCATGTAACTTGGATTCTGTGCCTCTCCACTCTTCCTCCATACTCTGGGACCTTTATTTCCAAATGAAATGCAAACTTTACTTTTCATGCAAAAACAGGAGTTTGGACCACTGAGGAACAGTCCAGTCCTTTTTCTCCTTAGCCCAGGTAAGACACTTGAGTGCCTTGACACAAGGAATGCGACAGTTGTAGCCCATGTCCTGAATACGTCTGTGTGTGGTGGCTCTTGAAGCACTGGCACAAGCTATAGTCCACTCCTTGTGAATCTCCCCCAAATTCTTGAATGGTCTTTGCTTCACAATCCTCTCAAAGCTGCTAATATCCCTGTTGCTTGTGTACCTTTTCTACCACACTTTTTCCTTCCACTCAACTTGCCATTAATATGCTTGGAAACAGCACTCCATGAACAACCAGCTTCTTTAGCAATCACCTTTTGTGACTTACCCTCCTTGTGGAGGGTGTCAATGACTGTCTTCTGGACAACTGTCAAGTCAGCAGTCATATATTTTTGAAATGTAAGCAAGATGGAATAGAGGGCCTCTGAAAGCACATCTGGCCTGCTGGGGAGAGGCCAGGTGTTGTCAAACAGATGTCCAAGTATGTCTATCCAAAAGGAATCACAGTCTTCCTCTATCTGGAATTCACACTGGGGGGAAAGGAATAGATTAGTCTTACATGAGACTAAGTAATTATCAGAGCAGCTGAAGCCAGAGCTACAGGTTCCTTGGTCCTAGCCACAAACAGAGGTAGTTCAGTCTGGAGGCTAGGATGTCTACATCGGAAGTATACCCATTTCTGACATATCAGATAGAGCATGTGAAGGGCCCATTCCCCTTGATGCAGCATCCACCTCCTGGGATGTGGGCTTCAGAGATAGCTGGACAGCGATTCTCCATGCATGATATGATCTGGCTTGCTTCTTTAAAGGCTGAATGACTCCCGGTGCTTCCTTGATGGTTTATGTAGGCCACAGCCATGGCACTATCTGACTGCACCCTTATTAGGTGTCCTTGCAGAAGGAGGGTCCAGTGTTGCAGAGACATTTGTATTGCTCTGAGCTCCAGGAGATTGATGACAAGCTTGGCTTTTTATGGGTGACCTTGTTCCTTTGACTATGAGGTACTGGAACACTCCTACCGAACCTGAAAGTCTGGCATCTGTTATCACTTTCCAGGGCTAAGGATGGAAAGATTTCCTTACTGTTAAGGCTGAGCTGGAGTTCCACAAAATTAATGAATTCCTTGCTTGGCTGAACAGGAGCATGGGTAGGTTGAGAGAAAATGCATATTTGTTCCAGGTCAAAAAGATGTTAAGGTGTTATACAGGTCTTGTATGGTATTGGGCAATTGGTACAGCTTCAGAGGAAGATACAATTAGGCCTAGAACTCTCATCGAGTATCTCACTGCGGGATGTCTATTTGATCTCAAATCTTGAGCGTGGGCTCCAAGAGGAAGAATTTTCTGAAGAAAAACATTTGTTTGGGATGTGTCCAGGACCAAACCCAAGTATTCCAGGTGAAGAGAAGGCTGGGAAAGTAGATTTTTGAAAACTGATCATCCAATTGAAGGTCTGGAGCATCTGAACTGTCCTGCAGACACTTGCAAACAGCTGCAAGGAAGATGAGTCTTGAACGAGAAAGTCATCTAGATAACCTGTGACCCGGATGAATTCTCAGAAGGGCAAAAAGAGGTGCTAGGACCTTTGTGTATACTCTGGGAGCAGAGAATAGGCTGAAGGGATGTGCGACAAACTGGAAGTGGCTTTCTTCCACTGGAAAGCGCTGATGAAATGGATAAATGGCAATATACGGATAGCATTTGTAGACATCCAAGATGCATAAGTATTTCCCTGTCTCAGGGAGGCAATTACTGACCTTGCAGATTGCATGCAAAATTTTGGAATTTTAAGGTATTTGTTGAGGTATTTTAAGTCTAGAATAGGACTAATACTTTTGCTGGGCTTTGATAACATCAACAGGTTTGAACAGAATCTTTTGAACCCGTCTTGTAGAAGTACTGCCACAACTACTTCCTAGGACATGAGATCTACAAGAGACTACAAGATCAAGTACACAAGCAGACCACTTTTAGATGTACTTCTTTTTCACTGGATACAGTTTGGTAAAGACTTTTGGAGGTGTAAAAATCTTTTGGAGTGATCCGGTCATCAGACAGCCCATTCTCTTTGCTCATGAACAAGGAATGTCTTAAATTTTTGTAGATCTCTCATTGTGCCCAAAGGGCGAGATGGAGGAGAATCAGGAACTACAATGCTGAGGCTTTTGCGCACAGCAAGCGTGTTGTATGAAGCTTCTACTTAAGGAGGAAAGACCGCAGCCTCCTCTAACACGGTTTCTATATCCTCTCTAAATCCTTTCTGTATCTGTCTGGTCTAAGGCAGGCATGTCAAATCTGCCTAAAGACTGGGGAACTAGAAAAGGTATGTGGCATTTTGTAACTCTAGACAAAGATGTATTATTAGTTGTCTGTGCTGATTATTTTCAGCCATCATTCAGGACTACAAAACCATGCCCTCCTATGCTATTGACAATGTCAGAGGATCAGAGTCTTGTAGTCCTATCATATTTCTCTTTTCCTAGAGTAAATAAGCTTTGTTATCCTAAAACTGAAAGTGTGTTATTGCCAGAATCGCCATGTGAAAAATAAAGGAAAACCGGCTGCAGCCACCACACCTAAGGACTGGTAAGCTGCAATATATAAAATCTGTGTTTTTGGGTTTAGATTGTTTAGAGCTGTTTATTTACAGTGCTATCACAGATCACTCCAAAGAGCGCGGTCCCAACTTATACTGATCAGCTGCAAAAAGAAGGGCCTTCCTATTATTGCTGAAATTGGAAACTTGGAAAGGTTCTGACCTCTGTGGTACATGGATGATCTGATAAAAGACAGCATAGAGGGGTTATAAATCTTTATATAGGCCCAGATTTGCACTAATTGTATGTTAGAAAATAAGTGTAAGAGCCAGATTGGTGGTATGGGCAACAGTCCTAGTTATGTATGACTACCTTTTTTTTTGTATAAAATACACCTATTAGACAATTTTAACCCAGCCCTATGTTCCATGTTCTACCTGTTTTTTAGGGTATAACATGTGATATGTTCCAGCAGCTGCAGCCTCTCCCCACTCTCCTACCCCACCCTGCTCTGGGGTAACTGCTTGCCAATCTGAGGTATGGGCAGACCGTTTTGCAGAGAGTCTGCAGGAGCCTGAGATTACACCCACAATCTGCAGGCTCCTTAGAAAAAACAAAATGTGCATTTATTCTTAAATACATTTTTTCAGATGTTTTATCCTTGAAGGGTGAAGTGGGCAGTATTTTTGGATGTTTTGTTTTAATAGAAGGAATTCAAGATAAAGATGAAAATTGTACACATTATTAAAGGCCAAACTGAAAGGAGAAGAGCCAAAGCTCATTTAGGCCCTACTTCTCCTGTGAGTCACAGGAGTGCAATTTGTTCTGCACTCCTGTGATCTGTATTCAGCTGACATCAGGCTAGAGCCTGCTGGCAGCCGATATTACTCAGCCAGTCCAGACTCTGGGGGGATCCCAACTGTAATGTCGGTTGCTGAGAGCCTAAGCCAGCCACTCCCCCCACCGCCTGGCACTCCAGCAAACGCTGGAGGAGCAGAGAGCTATTGATTGCTAGTCACCATTCTCTGCTCACTGAAGGCCGAAAACAGAGAAGTGTTCTTTGATTGCTCAGTTCTCTGTGTAGAGGCAATGGAGAACAGATGCAGCATTGGATCGATACTGTATCCACCTAGATGAGTATAAATGTTTGTTTTTTTAATTCCCAAACCTCTCTTTGAATGAACTGTGATGACCAAAAACCATTTATATAAAATGAAATTGAGATTTATAAAACTTTAATACTACTAAATGTGTAATCATGAACTTTTCAAACCAGAAGCTCTCTACAGACTTTACAAGGATACATTGCTAATCTGTACTTTGATTTGCCCAGAATTCCAATTTCTGATGCTGTGGATAGCCTGAAATGACTACTGGAATGCATTCATCCAGTCTTGTTCAATAAAAACCCTCCAGTTTAGAATACAAAAAAAGTTTGTAAACTGGTCCTTTTGTGTTAAGAATTTAGAGAAGAGGGGGAATGCCTACATTGGCTTGTATCAAGGGTTATAAAAAAAGGAAGCCGTTCTAGCATACCAGCTAAAAGATAGGCAATGAGCTATACCATATTTTTGGTGGACCTGTTCAAACACAAAAAAGCATAGTTTTTTTTTCAGCAAGTCACATACACTCTATATGCCTGCTGTTATTCAGTTATCAGTGTGCTTTAAACTGTTCCAGCTCAGACACTTCTGTTCCAGTCATTTACTACACATTAAACAATCTCAGTCAGCAAACTCTAATCTGGCATCTGCATTGGCCAGGCAAGCTCTTTAGAGTTTATCATAGAAACATAAAATCCAAACCCGAGTTGCTAATAGCTATAATAACTTGCCATTAAACATTAAGTACTTTCATCAAGTATTTTTATTTCTAAAGCCACAAAGGAACAGATTAAAATGTTTTCCTGTATAAAATAAATTAAAGATGAGCAGTAAAATCAAATAAAATTAATGAGCAAAAAACACTTACCAATAATGGTGGGTCTCGCTTCTCATCAAATGGCAGGAGTCCTGAGATTACTTCTAGTAATACCTATGGATATTAGCAATTATTAGTGTTAACACATTTGATTTATTTCACACGTCATTCATTAAAGTCTTTTCTAAATGAACTTAAAATAAATGTGCTTTTTCCATGATGTGCAAAGTAACAGGTTCTGTTTAATGCCTATGTATGTGACAAGTGCAGCGCTCGTAACCAACAAAGTGAATGGATAAAATACAATAAAATAAATCAAATTAAATTCAATTAAAATAAAGGATAAGAAGTAGTCCCATAGATATAAGTAAATATGGATAATTGAGGTGACTTCATGGTCCGGATAGAGGTGATAATGAAATGCGCACTCACGGGACGCGCATATTAAATGCGCCTTGTATGTAATTATCCTGATGCCAGGTGGTAGGAGGTCTTCCTTCTATCAGAACCCAGATGAGTTGTCCTTCTCACTAAGATACACCTGTATTTAAAAAAAAATTTTTTAAAAAAATTTTTTGGGGGTTTAAAAAAAAAATTTTTTTAAAAAAAAAATTTTTTTTTGGGGGTTTTTTTGGGTTTTTTTTTTTCCCCTTTTCCCCCAATTTTTAAATTTTTTCCCCCAATTTAGTAAAAAAATTTTTTTTTTTGGGGAAATTTTTTTTTTTTTTAAAAAAAAAACCCCCCCCCCAAAAAATTTAAAAAAAAAACCCCCCTTTCCCCCCTTTTTTTTTTTTTCCCAAAAAAAAAAATTTTTTTTTTTTTAAAAAAAAAAAAAACCCCCCCTTTTTTTTAAAAAAATTAAAAAAAAACCCCCTTTTTCCCCCCCAAAACCCGGGAATTTTTTTTCCTTTGGTTTCCCCTTTTTTAAAAAAATTTTTTTAAAACCCCCCCTTTTTTTTTTTTTTTTTTTCCCCTTTTTAAAAAAATTTTTTTTTTTTAAAAAAAAAAATTTTTAAAAAAAAAAAAAAAAAAAAAAAAATTTTTTTTAAAAAAGGGGAAAAAAATTTAAAATTTTTTTTTTTCCCCCCCAAAGGGTTTTAAAATCCAAATTTCCCCACCCCCCCCCCCTTTTTTTTTGGCCGGGGGAAAACCCCCCCCCCCGGGTTGTTTTTTGGATCCCTTTTCCCGGGGGTTTTTGGAACCGGGGGGGGTTTTTCCCCTTTTTTGGCGGTTCCCCCCCCCCAAAAAACCCCCAAGGGGGCCCAAAAAAAATTTTTTAAAAAAAAAATTTTTTTTTTAAAAAAAAAATTTTGGGGGTTTTTTTTCCCCGGGGAAAAAAACCCCCTTTTCCTCCAAAAAAAAAAACCCCCCGGGCCCCCAAAACGTAAAAAAAGGGCAAAAAAAAAAAAAAAAAAATTGGGCCGGGTTATTTTTTTAAAAATTTTAAAAAAATTGATGGGCCCCCCAAAATTAAACCCCTTCCCCCCCCGGGGGTTTAGGGAAAAGTTTCCCGGGGGCCCCGGGGGAAAAAAAAAACCCCCCTTTTTGGGCCCCCGGGGGGAAAATTTTAAAATGGGGCCCCCCCGGGGAAATTTACCGGGCCCCCAAAAGCCCCCCCCGGGGGGCTAACCCGGCCCCCCAAAAAAAAAACCCCCCCCTTTTTTTTAAAAAAATTTTTGGGGGAAAAAAACCCCCCCGGCGGGGGGCCCCCCAAAACCCCCCCCCCCAAAAAAATTGGGGGGGCCCAAATTTGGGGGGGGGGCCCCCCCGGGGGGGGGGCCCAAAAAAGGGGCCCCCTGGGGGGGGCCCCCCCCCCCCGGGGGCCCAAAACCCCCCCCCCCTTTTTTTTTTGGGGGAATTTTTTTTTGGGGGGGGGGGTTTGGGGGGGCCCCCTTTTTTGGGGAAAAATTGTTAAAGGGTTTTCCCCCCCTTTTTTTTCCCCCCCCCAAAAAAAAAAAGGGGGAAACCCCCCTTTTGGGGGGGGGGTTTTTAAAAGGGGGTTTAAAAAAAAAAGGGGGGGGGGAAAAATTTTTTTAAAAACCCCCCCCCCCCCCGGGGGGGGGCCCCCGTTTTTTGGGGCCCCCCCCCCCAAAAGGGGGGTTTTTCCCCCCAAAAACCCCCGGTTTCCCCGGGCCCCCTTTTTTTTGGGGGGGGGAATTTTTCCCCCCGGGGGGGGGGAAGGCCCCCCCCTTTGGGGGGGGGTTTTTTTAAAAAAAAACCCCCCCCCCCCCCCTTTTTTCCCCCCCCCTTTTTTTGGGGGGGTTTTTTTCCCGGGCCCCCCCCTTTTTTCCCCCCCCGGGGGCCCCTTCCCCCCCCCCGGGGGCCTTTTTGGGGCCCCCCCCCCGGGGGCCCCTTTTTTTTTGGGGCCCTTCCCCCCCCCGGGGGGGGGGGGGGGGGGGGCCCCCCCCCCCCCCCCCCCCGGGGGGGGTTTTTTTTTCCCCCCCCCCCCTTTTTTTTGGGGGGGTTTTTTTAAAAAAAAGGGGGGCCCCCCCCTTGCCCCCCCCTTTTTTTTTTCCCCCCCGGTTTTTCCCCCCCCCCTTTTTTCCCCCCCTTTTCCCCCCCCCCTTTTTTCCCCCCGGGGGGGGGGCCCCCCCCCCCCGGGGGTTTTTCCTCCCCCCCCCTTTTTTTTTTGGGGCCCCCCCCGGGGGGGGTTTTTTTTTGGGGGGGGAAAAAAAAAACCCCCCCCCCCCGGGGGGGTTTAAAAGGGGGGGGTTTTTCCTTTTTTTTGGGGGGGGGCCCCCCCCCCCCCCCCGGGGGGGGGGTTCCCCCCCCCTTTTTTTAAATTTTTTTTTAACCCCCCCCTTTTTTTTAACCCCCGGGTTTTTTCCCCTTTTTCCCCTTTTTTTTTTTAAATTTTCCCCCCCGGGGGGTTTTCCCTTTTCCCCTTTTTTTCCCCCCTGGGGGGGTTTTCCCCCCCCTTTTTGGGAAATTTTTTTTTTTTTCCCCCTTTTCCAGTTTTTTTCCCCCCTTTTTTTTTTAACCCCCCCCCCCCCCCCAAAAGGGGGGTTTTTTAAAAAGGGGGGGCCCCCCTTTTAAAAAAAATTTTGTGGTTTAGGGTTTTGTTTTGTGTGTTTTGGGTGTTTTTATTTTTTGTAGATGCACCTTTCTGAATAAAAGTCTTTGTTTAACCTACTACACTATGGGAGTGTCCTCTTGTTGCCCCCTGGGGGAGTGTTTCTAGCCTGCAGACCCACTACTAGGACGAATCACCACCTACCCCCCAGGCCATTCGGAGTGACAGCACCCACTAGGACCATACAGGTGTATCTTAGTGAGAAGGACAACTCATCTGGGTTCCTATAGAAGGAAGACCTCCTACCCACCTGGCATCAGTATAATTACATACAAGGCGCATTTAATATGCGCGTCCGGTGAGTGCGCATGTTCGCTATCACCTCTATCCGGACAACGAAGTCACCTCAATTATCCATATTTACTTATATCTATGGGACTACTTCTTATCCTTTATTTTAATTGAATTTAATTTGATTTATTTTATTGTATTTTTATCCTTTCACTTTATTGGTTACGAGCGCTGCACTTGTCACATACATTGTCTCTTCCATAGGTTATTGGTACCTAATTCTGTGCGTAGCAGCTTATTTATACTAAGGCGCTTTTTACTACTCTTTGTACATTACTCTATTTAATGCCTGCCTTTGCAGCTGCACTACTGTATGTCTGCTTGTAACCACTTGAGTTGCGGAAAGGTTTTACCCCCTTCATGACTAGGCTATTTATTGATATTTAGCACTGTGCTACTTTATCTGGTAATTGTTCAGTGATGCAATGCTGTACCCAAATGAAATCCATATTTTTTCCACACAAATAGAGCTTTTTTTTGGTGGTATTTGATCACCACTGGGATTTTTTTTATTTTTAATATGAAAAAAGACAGAAAATTTGAATAAAATATTTTTTACATTCTGTTAAAAACATATCCAAAAAAAAAAAAATCGAATTTCTTCATAAATTTAGGCTATGATGTATTCTGCTACATGTATTTGGTAAAAAAAAAAAAATCTTAAGTGTAAATTGATTGGTTTGTGTGAAAGTTATTGCATCTACAAACTATGGTGTATATATACTGGAATTTGTTGTTTATTTTTTTATACTTATAAAAGGCGCTGATCATGGTGGGACTGTGATAGTGCGGAAGGCAACCTGACGCTGGAAGGTGTTAACATCTAAGGGCAAACAAAGGGTTAACCTTGTGTCTAAAAAATGTGTAATTTTTTTTTTGTACTAAATATCGGTTTGTTCCTTCTGCCTTTGCAGGGAGAAGAAACAAGAGGATCATTCCGTCTGTACAGAGCTCTGTGTGTTTGTAAATTGGACACAGCTGATTAGCAGGTCTCAGGCATTAATCAGTGGCAAAATCCCACTGTGTCTAATCATAGTGGGAGTGCGCAAGCCCTGGACCCGGAAGACACTGTCGACGTACAGGTACATGATTATTCCTGTACGAGCCGCCCACCTGCAATAAAATGCAAGTGGGCGGCAACTGGTTAAAGTATACCTTATACCAATTTTTTACAGTTATGGTCCCAATACAGTTAAAACCACTATAAGGCTTTTTTAACTGTGTCTCATTTGGGAAATTTCCTTTAACTTCCTGTCCTGAAGACACAAAAGGAAGTGAATCACCCTAATGGAGAACACAGACAGCAATAAAAACTCGACCGTGGTTCTATCCCCTCACCATTCTATTCAATTTTTTTTTTTTTAAATACCCTTGATTATAGTTTAATTTTTTATTTCAGCTTTAGTACATTTCAGATATAAAAATGTACTTAAAGTGTTACTAAACCCACAACAGAAAAAAATCGGTCTGTATATGCAGTAAAGCATGCTTGTTATAATCACTGTAGAACCTAAGGGGGTTAATCCTCTGCATTGTGTAAAAAAGGCAGTTTGATCCTGACTTCTCCGATCCTCCCTTCTTGCAGTTTTCCCCTCTTATCTCCTTATAAGACATAATGTGTGGAATCACTCTGCACATGCTCAGTTCGGTGTGTATTGCTAGAGAGGTTTTTTGTTTCTTGGGAGAGTGCATGTTATCAGACAGGGCCAATCGGCACTGTCTAGACATAGGTCAGGAATCCTGCATCCTCTGAGAGCAAAATTAAAACTCCTCCTACAAGCTTTAACATGTGCTCGGCTGGACACTAAGTCACAAGATTGCTCTAACTGAGAAAAAGTATTTAGCAGTTTTATATTTACTAAAATAATTGCACTTCCATGTTCTGTGTATTGCTGGAGATCAGATATAGTGAATGTAGGGTCCTGAGTTTATTAACACTTTAAGCAACTTGATTCCTCTCCCATTATACTGCAACTTACTGAATGCCTCTATTACCACATTATCTTTCTGAGTCTTTAAATTATATTACACACAACAGCTTATACATCCTACATCACAGCCCCTTGCTGCTACTTAAGTTGCCATATTTCCTATGTTACTTATGGGGAGCATCCTAATAGCCTGTGCTCTTTGATGCTATGGACAGAACAAGCTGACAAACGGTAGGAGCAGTTCTGAGTAGGTATAGTTTAAATAAAATGCTAAAAGCAGGAGGAGTGCAACAATAGAATGCCCTCATCTCCAACTAGTGCTTACACAGCAGACCTCTGCACTATTATTAAAACACAGATGAAGCAAAGCCTCCTGCATAAGTACTACCCGATTATCTGGATCCCTCTCTCCTCTATATCCATTATCCAGAATGTACACAGTGCACAGCACAGAGAGCTGAGCGTAATTGGAGACCTGAGTGGAGGGAATACACACACCTACTCTACACAGTCTCATAAGGAAACATGCACAGCTTAGGTTGTCAAACACCTGTTTGTGTGGTGGCGGTGAGCTATTTTCCTGGATTGTCTGGTGTAGGTATAGTAAAATCTCTATATCTTATTGCTAGATTTTGTTGAAAAGAGGGATAAGACACATCCTCCTGCATAAGTTCTACTCGATTAGCTGCAGTCATCTCTCCTCGATATCCATTCAAAGTCCAGAATTTACACATTGCCCAGCACAGAGAAAGGAGCTGAGAAATCTGAGACCTGAATGGGAACAGACACACTGTCTGCACAGTCTCATAGGGAGACTGTCAATCACCTGGTGTGTGCTGGGGGGGCATCTATCTGGATTGCCTCGTGTAGGTATAAAACTGTCAGAAGTGACTCATGCAGATAGCAGAGGAATGGCAGGGCAGACAAAAACCACAGTAGGTGCTTTGACTAGAGGCAGATACATGCTATAGAAGTGTATGCTTTGTTCTTTTTTCATTTCAGAGGCTGACAAACCACTTTAAATCTATAAACAGAGGAAACAATACCATCTAAGCTCTATTCCGTTACTTACCACGCCAAAACTAAATATATCAGACTTTATAGTGACCTCTCCTCGCAGGGCTTCAGGAGCCATGTAAGCTGTAGTACCGACAATTCTTTCCGTCATCATAGTACTAGCATGTTGCCCAGTCGCTCTTGCAAGCCCAAAATCTGATATTTGGGGGGTAAAAAATAAGCATCTAGAAGAATATTTGCACTAGGTGAAAGAAAAAAAAAAAAAGCATTTCACAATCGATGTAGGCATCTCCACCAGATGTATTTCAGTGAAAGAGGTAAGGTGATTGCAATGTGTGTCAGCAAAATAAACAGTAAGGTAGCTCATGACCATTCCCTATACCAAATCATACCCTCCTGGGACCTATTAAACATAAAAATGAATAAGGATCATGCTCTGACAGGAAATGTTGACAGAAATTTACCAGCTGCTGAGATCCCTAAATATTGTGGAATACGGTAAGTTTCTGCAATGCTTTAGTAAGTGCAATGTATCTCCGACAAATGATGGCATAGTTTTGACACATACTGTAATTTAAGATGATTGGCAACAGATGTACCAATGTTCTTTCTGGAAGATATTTGCTCAGAGGACTGGTCCTTATGGTAGACTTTATCACGTTGTGACATTTGGGAATTACAAAAACATAGTTAGAGTATATGTAATTGTGCAAAATTTTTCCCGTATGCCACATACATTCATAATGTATACCTAATTTTTTTTCCAACAACGACCTTGTCAAAATTATGTAGTCACTTTGAAAGAATTCTTAAAGCTTAAGTTTACCTAAAATAAAAAAACTAGTACAGTCGCCTTCAGTGAGATGTGTCCCTTGTGCTGTGTCCTCCTTTTGCTGAAATCTTCCTCCCCCGATGCTCCCCCTCCACCCTAATTTCCCAGTGTGGCGGGGGATTAAGGAACTAAGAGTCAGTGACAGGCACTCATCAAAGTGCCCGCCCTTTCCACACAACTGCTCCATTCGTAGAAGACATCACTACAGCTTCTATGAATGAAACATGATCTATGAATGTAGAACAAATGGCAGATTGAAAGGTCTGCCCCTTTTATTCATATATTGTGATTCATTCATAGAACATGTAGAAAAGACTTACATGAATGCAGTATCTGGACGAAAAGGTTGGGCAACGTAATTCAGTCCTGATGAGTGCTTGTCACAGCTCCTTAGTTCCTTAAACTGCAACTCCGGAATATTAGAGGTTAGGTAGGGTGCATCGGACAAGGAATTTTGTCGTGGCTAAAGGAACACACAGCAACACAAAGTACGCATCTCACTGAAGGTAAATTAAGTCCCCGTGCTGCGTTTTTTATTTTTTGGTAAGCTTAGGCTTTAAATACTTAGATATCCTTACTAATCAATATATACTGATTGGTCCCCTCTGTGTCTGGACATTTAAAGTGTTACTAAACCCAGGACCCTGCATTCACTATATCTGGTCTCCCACAGTACACACAACATGGAAATGCAATTATTTTACTAAATATAAACTGCTAAATACCTTTTATGATCAGCAGTTAGAGCAGTCTTGTGACTTCAGCAGAGCACTGGTTAAAGCTTGTAGGAGTTTTCTTTCTGCTCTAGGAGGATGGGAAACCTCTCACCCTCTGTCTAGACAGTGCTGATCACATGCAGCCTCCCAAAGAAAAAAAACAAAAAAAAAAACAAAAAACCTCTCTAGCAATACACACCAAACTGAGCATGTGCATGTGACTACGGATTCAGTCTGTATCAGGTGGTCATTTCAACAAGAGGAGGGGCAGAGAGAAGAAAGGATCAAACAACCTTTTTACTCAATGCAGAGGATTACCCTCTTAGGTTCCACAGTGAGTATAACAAGCATGTTTTACGTTTTACTGCATATACAGACTGATTTTACTGTTGTGGGTTTAGTAACACTTTATTAGCCATATACTCAATTGTGTTCAGATATTGTTAAATATTTTGCAAGATGATGCCTCCATATTAAGTTCACCTTTTATAAGAAAAAAATGCACCATGCAGTCTAGGGCCCCAGTACTTTTAAATACAATGGGGTAGATTTACTAAAACTAGAGCGCTCCGTATCTGGTGCAGCTGTTCATGGTAGCCAATCAGCTTTTACCTTCAGCCTGTTCTAATTGCTTTGGCAATGAAACCTAGAAGCTGATTGGTTTCAGTGCAGAATTACACCAGATTTTGCACTCTCCAGTTTTAGTAAATAAACCCAACTGTGTAGCTTTAAAATTTGGAGTTTAACCACTTCTTGACAGCGCTATAGCTGAATGATGGCTACAGCGCGGCCGTCCATTTCTGAGAGGGTGTTGTATGACGTTCTCCCAGAATGCGCTCCCAGCAGCGCGCACCCGGCACTCTCTGTGATTGACATGTCCTTTGGACACAGCTGATCACATGTATATAAATCAAAAAAACAATATCGTGGCACCTGTGAAAGCTTGTGTGAGTAACTGTGCTGTGGAAAAACTTTTAACCCCTTCACGCAGGTGCCTCCCAGCCCTTTCAGGGTTCCAGAAGATGGGAGGCGGGGCAGGGTTTAGGGTCATGTGACCGCCGTGACGCGCCGCCACATGATCGGGAAAGGTCCCGATCAAAAGAGGAGACCTTTCCGTGAGTACCGAACATGTGTGCTGGGAGTGCACAGGGCGTGCGCTCTTGGCACATATGTCCTTTTTTAATAGAACGCAACTGTGCGGCCGCTCGGCGTCTAGGCCCAGACGCCAGGAGGCCGCACATTTGCGTGCGGCCGGCGTGAAGAGGTTAAATTCTGCCACAAGGCAGTAGTGGCAGCTGCCCCTATTAAATGGAAACACATTCTAAATACCAAAACCATAAATAAACAGGTGCATGCTCAGTATGGTTTCACTGTAAACATAAATAACATATGACATGAAAGATATTACATAAATGTGTAAAGTGCTATCCCAACACCACATTCAATATTAAAAGTCTTATAGTCCAAATGTGTATATGAATGAGAGTCCTATAGAGGGGTGCCACTTTGGTTCAGAAAGATCTTCACCACTTAGGAGTAATGTATAAATTTCCCACTCACCAGGTGTTGACCTCCATAATGGATGGTCAAATATCGCTTAGATGATCAAATGACATGTGGATTCCCTTCTGTAAGCTCTTCTATGGTGGGTCTTTAGGCACCCCTTCTTTCAATAATGGTTCTCAGAACTCATTGGATATATGATGTGAACCCCTTTGACAGGCGATGTGTAACTAGATCTTCATGCCTATATTCCATTGACTGGTTCCCTGTACCATGCAAAAATGCAAGGTGGATAGCGGATTCTAGAACTGACAGCCAGATGAATGCAGAGCGGTGGCTGCCCGGACAGGAGGAGGAAAGCTGTACAGCTTATCACCACGGGTCCTGACCTCTGAAGACGCCCAGTGGGAGGGGAGAAATGTGTCGGGTACGGACCATGGTGCCATCATATCCAGCCGGTGGAGCGCACAATGGTGCATTACTTCCTGGTTTGGTGTTTTTATGCTTGCTAATATTGGATTAATGCAGTGTTTCTCAACTCCAGTCCTCATGGACCCCCAACAGGTCATGTTTTCAGGATTTCCATTATTTTGCACAGGTGATTTGATCAGTTTCACTGCCTTAGTAATTACCACAGCTGTTTCATCTGAGGGAAATCCTGAAAACATGACCTGTTGGGGGTCCATGAGGACTGGAGTTGAGAAACACTGGATTAATGTGAGTGCAATATTTATTTTTATTACAGTTTTAAATAAATGGAATTACACTATGTTGCCCCCTTCCATCATTCCTTACATATGAGCATCCTGCCTTTTTAATCGCCGCATTGAAAGAACATCTGGTGGCAAGTGCAGCTGGGTGGAGGACGACTACAAGACCCAGCAGAACCAAGGATTTGTTCCAACTAAACGAGTTAGACTCTTGTTTAATTATAAGAGTCCACAGAAGTCAGTGAGTATGTGGGACCACTGGCAGGGAGCACAGCACATGAATTGCACGATTTTCATGGATTGGATAGTACACATGCACAATTTGGAAGAGAATATTATAGTATTTTTTGCACAAGTCACAAAGGACTTTATTGAGATATAATTGTATGTTTGATTTGATCTGCAATTATGAGAGGATTGCACATGGCAGCACTCTTATATTTATGATTGTATACTTGTGAGGGTCAGTATCCTTAATAGGAGCTGCAGCCAATTTATGAGTTAATTATTTGTGATTTATTGGATTTCTTTTAATTTTCTTGATGTAGCTCACACGGATTTTTCAATTCACAAAATGAGTTTACAATCCTTAGTGCAGAATAAAGAATCCTTAACAGATGATCACGGTGGCCTTTTACCATGCGAACAGCTGTGTCCAATCACAGCTGATCACCATGTAAATACACTTGCCGGTTATCGGCAGTACTTTCCTCACACTGTCACAGAGAGGAAAGTACTGCCGATAACAGGCAACTGTGAAAGGAGACATCTACTCTCAGCACACTGATTATCAGTGCAGCCCCAAAAGTGCCCATCTGTTCTGAACATATGTGCCTAGCAGTGTCACCAGTCAGTGCTGCCTATTATACCCATTATTGCCGTATATCAGTGCAGCCTTATAAGTGGCTCCTCATCAATGCCCACCAGTGCCGCCTCATCAATGCACATCAATAAAGGAGAAAAATTGCCCTTTTGCAAAATTTTATAATAGAAACAAAGAGAAACTTTTTTTTTTCTCTCTAATTGTTCGGTCTTTTTTCATTTGTTTAGCAAATAATAAAACTACTACCCAGTGGTAATTAAATACCACCAAAAGAAAGCTCTATTTGTGTGAAAAAAAAAAAAATATTCAAAATTTCATATGGGTACAGTGTTGCATGACCGAGCAATTGTCATTCCAAGTGCAACAGCACTGAAAGCTGAAAATTGTCCTTGGCAGGAAGGGGGTAAAAGTGCCTAGTAAGAAAGTGGTTAAAATGCTGTACATGTAGGTCCACTATAGCTTAGCTACAGCCTGGCTGAAAACCTACTAACAGGAGAGATCCGTGCTGTCCTGCCTGTAATCTGGGGACTCCCCTTATGTAGGGCACACTGCCAGCATCACTGAAACTAGCGCTCTCTCCCTATCAAGAACTGTGCATGCACAGTGCTCTCACTGTCTCCACAGAGGCTAAGCTCAGCACTGCTGCAATGGAAGAAGTAAATTACACTGCACATACAGTATGCAAGACTTGTAAGATGGAGAATACTTATTCTGATAAAGCTGGGAGCACACCCAACATAAGGGGATTACCAGACCATAGGCAGGATGGTGATGAACTCTCCCATTAGTAGTTTTTCAGCCAAGCTGTTGGTAAGGCATGATCAGTAAACTGCTATGGCGTTTAAAAAGCACATTTTAAAACTTCACACGGGGTTTTTAAAAGTACTGGAGCCCCTTGATTGCATAGTGCATTTTATTACAAATGTAAACTCAGCCTTTAAAACTGAACTCTAGGCAAATAGCTAAATATACAAGTTAAATACATATATGAGAGCTATTTTATCTGCCATGGAATTTCTATTTTTGTCCATCCAGTCCAGAGATTTACACAGTTCTACCACACAGCACAGTCCTGCTTAGCAGAGGAGGGGTCTTAAGTTATCTGATGCAAATAAACCCTAATGGGTCCACGCTGTTCCTCTGCTCAAATGTAGATTAACAGCTCACAAGGCACAATAAAAAATAAATGAATCAAGGTTTTCGCGTTTGTAGCTGCTTGTGCCTTTTTTAGCGGTTAATAAATGTACAATTGTGCAGAGGAGCAGCATGGACCTAATTTTTCTTGAACATTTATTTTGTGCATGAAGGGAAGGTTTGGAAGCTGCGACCTGCAACTGCCAAGGAGGAAGATATATGCCTGTCTGCCTTTCATCAGTAGTCTGTCAAGTGCCTCTTTTCATTTTTAGTTGATTATTTTTGTGATATGATCATTTCCTGGCATTAACATCACACAGCTTCCTTTGTCTGCTCCTTGAGACATACAGGTTTGTTAATTGTTAATTCCCTCATGCATTCTCTGGATATGTTACATTGTATCTTTTGGTACAAGGACCTATGTATTTCCTATGATCCTTGGCTCCATCTAGTGGGCATTATACTTAATTTTGATACTGTGCACAGTAAAAGAACATTCATTCATAAGATAAAATACCTTAAAGAAAATTCATTTTTAACCACTTTGCACAGAAAGGATACCCATACAGAATCACTGGATGAATGGCTATGCAAATAGATATGTCTGTCTATATACATTACTGACAGCTCAGCTTACACAAAGACAATCTGGAAAAAAAAAACCCATAGCATCATAGGGAGCAGAGCTTTCCTCCCTAGTTCAGACTTGCTTAGCTATAACATACTAAGAAGCAGAAATAAACACGTACATTCAAAAGCTGTTTTTTTCTGAAACATTTCCTGTCAGTTTCAGGAACAGAGACACTGTAAAACAAAGTTTAAAACATTATAGCATTTTTTCTAAGAATTATTAATCATAATTACCTCTTAATGTCTCTGTGAGTGTGATTATTTTCATGTAAATATTTAATGCCCTTTGCTGTTCCTACTGTAATATTACATCTTCTATTCCAGGATAACGGAGTTGTGTTATTCTGAAACAAACACATTTGGAATGTAAACATTCAGTAAAAAAATAAATAAACACATTTACACCTACCTACATCCAATCCGCAAAAAAACAGTACGAAGTGGATCCACTTCCCTTCCGTCTAGCGTATCGGATGGTAGTCGGGTGTAAACAGACAGGCTGTCCGTTTACATGTGACTGTTCCATAAGTGGAGCGAACACGGACCAGCCATTTGCCTGTTCATGTGGGGATCAGCGGACAGATCCCCCGCTGAGCAAGCGAACTACTGGTGAAGTCCGCCCAGTGTGGAAGGGGACTTATAGTCTAGAGATATGTACACTGTTTGTCTGTCAAAATATGTAAGTTATTGGGCATGTTCACATTTATTCATAAACAATGTCCCAGTTTCCAAAATATTCACCAACATCTCAGGCAAAGAGTATGAGAAGATGGTCAGTATTTCGTGTCTCCCTTTGGCATATCATCAGACTTAATGAAGACACTGAGATGGGAGGAAGGCAAAGGCCACAGAGGGCATTTATCTTTGCTCAACTCTTCTAGTGGGCCTATACGTGCACATTTTCTTGACATACTCACACTTTTCTGTGCTGATAACTTTAGGTAATATTTAATCAAGCAACTCTGGGTATAAGTCACAGTCTTGCATCTGTTGTCTATGACTTGCCATTCATTTATTCAAGGTGTAATCACCAGTGCCAGCATTATTTCCTGTGACATCATCAGTGCTGGCAGAGCCCTTTGTTGTCCTTTTACACAGTTTTCAGATAAATCCCCTTCTCTGTACATGACCCATGAGTTTCTTTGTCCTATAGGCTTTTTACAATAGCAGAACCATGCCATTAATGCATGCAGCTGTTAGTAATGGATGTCTAGGCACATTTTTATTTCTTCGATTGTTGTCCAGACATCTGTCTTTAATACTGATAAAGCGGAGTTCATACTGCAGAAAAACCCTAAATGTAAGTAATAAGAAAAGACTCAGTTGGCTACATACCAGGCAGGCTAACCTGTCCAGCAAAGAGCCATTAGACATATAAGTATAAACCAAACAGTATTGGTCACCATCATTTGAAAAGCCAAGCAGTTTCACAATGTTTTCATGCTGACATCTAGAAAGATACAGAATACAAGGTTATTTACAACTTATAATAAACAGAATACAAGATTATTTGCAGCAAATGCTTAAGGTGCCCATCGGCATGCGATGACAGATTATATTAACCACTTTGGAGGATCTGAAGTCTGTTAAGAGCTTCAGGCAGGCCTGGCTATGAGTTCTTGTGGAAGAAAGACCTGACAAATCAACAAACCTAATGCGCTCACTATTGCTTCCCCTTTGATAAAGCTGCATTACTCAAACCAGTATGATTGCAAGACCTGACTGTGTAACTGGACAAAAAAAAAAAAAACACATTTGGAGCAAGTTCTGGGTGTCTAGGGTTAGCTTAACCTATTAGGAAATGGAACATTATCTTACTTAGCCATTGTTTTTAATTTCTTGATCAAACTGATCTTTAAGGTCATGTAGACTACCATCAACCATCTGTGGGGGAAAAAAAAAAAAACCACAGTTAATATTTTCTGTATAACTTTTTGGCAATGGCAATGAATGAGTACTTAATGAATGAGTGAGACATACTGTTGTCAGTTTTTTAACTGCCACAATTTCAGACTTCAATTGTCCTTGGAAAACGACTCCAAAACCCCCCTCTCCAATTTTATTCCCTCCATCAGAAAGTGGACGATCATCAAAATTTCTTGTAATTCTCTTTAGTTCATTGAAGGAAAAAACCCCAAACCCTGTTACACGTATTAAACACAAAAAAAAAACAAAAAACAGGAAAATTAATAAAAACAAGAGGCTGATGAATACATAAAAAAACTCTATAGTGAATAAAGTTAATATGCTCTGTTACAATAGTGATGTTCATTAATGTTAGATTGGATTACTGTACTTGCACTGCACATATAACTAAAGGGAGTGCAAAGGGGGAATTGCTGTTCCTGTCAAGGCTCCTCTATGTTCACATTTCATTGTATACAGCAGCATTCCACCTCACTTTGTCTGTGCTGTTATTGATTCACCAAGTCTCTAGTAGGCTTATAAACATTTAAAATGGTAAAGTGTAACCCCCCCCCCCCTTAAAAAGGAGAAAAAAAAAAAAGATAGCCCCAAGATCTAATTGGTCTAAAGGTTCTTTACGAGATAGGCCCAATTTTCATTTTGCACAGGGGTCCTGTGAATTTTTGGTATGCAACACAACCTGCGGTTTAGTGCAGGTTATTAAAGATCCTGAGCAGGCAAAGTCACATTGGTATCATTTGGTCTAACAAAATAGCTGAGTGTCTGCCTGAAATTGCCCTGGTACTTCAGCTTAAGACTGTATTAAACCTCAAACATAAATATATTGCAGCTTATCAGTCCTTAGATGTGGTGATTGTATTAGTTCTTTTTTAGGCTTTCTTCCCTATTTTAAGTTGCTGTTCTGGCCAGTAACACACCTCCTATATTACAGTGTCTAAACTAAAAACAAAATGCCATATCATAGGGTATAACTACCCATTAAATTTCTCTGACTCACCATAAATAAAAGGTGTGGATTTTCTAAACCGCACACTTAGCATACAAAAAGGGGAGAAGTTGACAAGATCAAACTGCAAAAAGATCGGTATCTAAATCCAAAGCAGAGTAAAGAATACTTCCAAATAGATGCAAAACAATCACTTCATTACGATCACAGTGATCCTCTGAAGGATAGGCTTGAAACATGGTGGACACACAGTAAATCAGACAATAAAAACATTGTGATTATAAACAAAAGTCCAGCGCATTCACTTAGTTGAAAAACAGTGGGAGGCTAGGAAACCGATAAAGTAACCTTCTGGGAGAAGTATCTTCAACATATTATACAGGCGGCAGAGCTGCAGAAATTCATGGAAAGTATACTTTCTTATATGATCAAGATGTTTAGTCTTCATAATGGGATGACTTGCTGATTTCCATGGGTAGCATAACTAAGGAAGGATAAATGACTTCACTTCCCTAGTATAATCATCAGTTATGGGTGTGGAGGGTAACATATGGAGTAAATCCTTCACAGTGTCTCATCATCATTGATGTAAATTGAAGATGAAAGATGTAGCAATATTAGGCCAATCACTATCGACCGATTTCATTTGAGTGAAGCTGTAGCTATAAAACGGGTCTGGTATAGACTTAAGGGAACTCCCACGCCAAAGTTTAAAAAAAAATAAATGGGGGGAGGACGAGTGAGCGCCCCCCCCCCTCCTGAACCTTACCAGGCCACATGCCCACAAATGAGGGGTGCTTTGGGGCAGGGGGGGCTCCCCTCCCCCCCAAAGCACCTTGTCCCCATGTTGATGGGGACAAGGGCCTCTTCCCCACAACCCTAGCTGGTGATTGTGGGGGTCTGCGGGCAGGGGGCTTATCGGAATGTGGAAGCCCCCAGATCCTGGCCCCCCTCATGTGAATGAGTATGAGGTACATGGTCCCGATACTCATTCACAAAAAAACAAAAAGTGTAGTGTGAAAAAAGAGAGTACATGGTCTTTGACAAGTCCTTTATTAAAAGAAAAAACTAAAAAAATGTCCCCCGCAGTAGATCCAACGCCAATCACGATGCCCGCAGCCGACCCCCAAAAAAAAGAATAAAAAAAAAAAAGGCTCCGCTTCCGACGATGGCTCCCACCACCTGCCTGCTCCAGTGGTTTGACAGTTCTTAAATAGGTAAGGGGTGGGGCCACCTGGGGACATCACCCAAGTGACCCTGCCCCATGTGACATCATTTATGTCACATGGGGTGGGGTCACATGCGTGATGTCCCGAGTGGCCCGCCCCTTACCTATTTAAGAACTGTCAAACCACCGGACCCCCACAACCACTGGCCAGGGTTGTGAGGAAGAGGCCCTTGTTCCCATCAACATTGGGACAAGGTGCTTTGGGAGGAGGGAGCCCACCCTGCCCTGAAGCAACCCCCATGCTGAGGGCATGTGGCCTGGTATTTTGGCGTGGGAGTTCGGCTCAAAATCCATACCAGATCCAAAGGGCTTGGTATGGATGGGAGGGGGGCATTATGGTGCCGGTTATTAAATGTAATTACCACTTTTTCTTTCTTCACTATAGCTCAGAGATTCAGCTGTCACTTTCCCCACGGATAAAAGAGAAAGTTTATTTTTAGTTTATTTCCCCAAGTTAAAAGAAGCAATGTTTCCTTTTAATTTCTTAAAAGAAACAAAGCTTCCTTTAACTGAGAGGAAAGTAACAGCTCTGTGAGCTATGGTGAAGAAAAAAAAAAAGCCGCCAATTGCATTTAAAAATCGGCACAGACATACACTTCGTATTGTGAAAATTTTGTAAAAAATTTGTAAACCGAGGCATTATTTTTTCATACGTAAACCGAGGTACACCTGTACATAGCTTGCAGATGCCCACTTTTCTCTATTATTATATCTACTTGGTTTGAAAAATTAAAATTGAAATGTCTTTTGAATTCCACCTCAGATATTCAAGTAGTTTAAAATGCCAGTGCAGGATGTGACCAGGCTAATCTTCACTGCAGCAGTCACAGGATAATAAATTTAATTGAAATTGAATTGAAAATGCAACATTAAATTGTAAGCTTTAAAAAAAGAACAATACCTGTTTGTTCATCATTCTCCTCTGGATCTGTGCTTTGACAAACAAGGTTTCCATGATTTGTTTGGCTACAGTTTTCGGATGTGGCCTGCTTTTTCTCCAAATCATCTATAGGGATTGTTGGGCAGCCAGCACTTGTCTCCTGATCTGTTCATACACAAAGCCAAGTATAAAATTATGCATGTTAGACCTAATGTACACAGGGGTGTTTCTAGGGTTTATTCGACACCTTGAATAAAGTGCTGTAGGCTTGTAGTACACCATATTAAAAAAGGGGGCAATATGGTTTCTCCTTCCCTGTTTAATTCATTGGTATTAAAAAAAAAAAAAAAAATATCTTCTTTGGATCAGATGTGTAATTTTGTAAAGGCAATGGCATTACCAAAGAAAAATCAAATGTATGCAAAAGCAATCATACACTAATTAGGTTGATAAATGTTTGGATGTTCCAAAAGCATAATATGCATACGATGTACATACATCATGGGCAATGGGCATTTAAGTGTAAATTTAGTAAACCCACATAAATAATGAAAAATGCCAGCTTTTCCTATTATCTGCCTAACATGATTCTAATAAAATATGGGAGGAAAATGTAGCTACTAGTGGAGGCAGGAATTAAAATTTCTGTTTGTCTATAAGGTCAAACTTAGGATAATGGCAACTAATATTGCAACGCACACTCAGGGCACACTGGAAAATCTGAGACAAATGCCTTCTAGCCTAAAAGTTTGATGTCATTAAAAAAAGTGTAATTACTTCTTATGAGCAATATAATATATAGAATTATTTTCCAAAAAGTTTGAGAACGTTTTTTTTGTTTTTTTTTTCACAAGGTAATGTTAATTTAATGCAACCTTTATTTCTATAGTTTAAGTGCTAAAAGCATTACCATTCAGTAAAACTGAAGCCGCAGTCAAGAAATTTTTCTTCCTCAACAGGTCAGTAAGGTCACGCACGGTGCAATTTGTGGTCCCCCAGTCATAAAGCAATTCTTGTGTTGGACTTTTTCCTTTTTGAATGCTTCCCTCAAATCGCCTTTCAAATAATGTATGAATATAAATAAATAACTTCAGATACATAAAGTAAATAAATGACCTATGCACAATGAACATGAATCACCATACACAGTAATATAACAACATGAATAAAATATATAACAAAAAAGCAGAACAACAAAAAGGTACAGCTCTAAAATCTGGTATATTATAAAAACAAGACAGATAGCAAGCCAAAGGTTTTATGAAAGGTTTGATAAAAGAATAATGCTAAAAAAATGAATGCCCAGACACTGAAACAATGGCACATTCACAAATGCAAAAGCAAAGCAGGATGTAAAATGTTTCCCTTAAATCACCTTTCAAATAAAATATTAGCTATACATAGAGAATATCAAACACATTAATCAAAGTAAATAAATGACTTGTGTATAATGAACAAAGTATTACATACAACAAAATAAATTGATTTTTTCTACATACCGGTACTTACCTGTAAAATCCATTTTGTGGCGTACATCAGGGGACACAGAGCAGGCTATTCATGACTATGTGGGTTATAGGCCACCTATAAGTGAATGGACATTGGCCGACCAATAAGAGGAGTTCCTCCCCTATATAACCCTTCCTATACAGGAAGTACTTCAGTTTTTGTAGCAAGCAATGAAAATTCCAGAAAGAGGGGAGGGACCTCTGTGTCCCATGATGTACTCCAAGAAATGGATTTTATAGGTAAGTATGTAGAAAAAATCCAATTTTGTTTATCGTACATCACGGGACACAGAGCAGGCTATTCGTGACTATGTGGGATGTCCCAAAGCAATATGAAACTTGAGAGGAGGGTGACACCGTGATAGCCACTGTCCATAATCCCTCAGGACCTATTCAGCCGCCTGTAAAACACTGCAGCCAAAGGCAGGATCCTCTGCGGTTCCGACATCCACCTGGTAGAACCTTGTGAATGTGTGAACCGAAGACCATGCAGCAGCCTTGCAAATCTGAGCCACTGATGCTTGATGGCAGATTGCCCAAGATGACTCCACACTCCTGGAAAAATGTGCCTTCACACAAAAGGGTGGGATTTTACCTTTCAAACCATAGGTTTGAATGATCAATTGGCGAATCCAATGTTGAAATAGTTGCCTTGGATGCCGCCTGCCCCTTCCTAGGGCCCTCTGGCAGCACATATAGAGCATCTGACCTCTTGACCTGTGCTTTCGCCTTCAAGAAGACCCTTACAGCATGTACCACATCCAAGGTATGCAGAGATCTTTCTCTTGCTGACGGAGGCCTAGGGAACGATGAGGACAGAACTAGGTCCTGATTGAGATGAAATCCAGAAACCATCTTTAGTAAAAAAAGGATGGATGAGGTCTCAACACCACCTTATCATGATGCAAAACCAAAAATGGTTCTCTGCAAGATTGCCACTAGAAACAATATCTATGAGTCAACAGGACTAGTGGAATCTCTCTAATAGGTTCAATTGGTGGCTTTGGTAGAACCTGCAAAACCAAGTTCAGGTCCCAAGGACACAAAGGCAACCTGATAAGAGGAACCATCCGTATCACTCCTTGTAAAAAAGTGTGGACCAAAGAGTGAGATACAATAAGCCTCTAGAAAAAAAATAGCTAATGCTAAAACCTGGCCCTTAATGGTACCAGCAGTCAAATTCTTCTGCAACCCTGTTTGAAGAAACTACAGAATTCTGCCAATCACATACTTTTGTGGATGCCATTTGTGAACCTCACACTAGGCAATGTAAGCCTTCCAGGTTCTGTAATAAATGTTCCTAGAAACTTCCTTTCTAGCACCCAACATGCTGGGGATGACAGAATCCGATACTCACCTATCCTTCAGGATCTGGATTTCCATAGCCACACCGTCAGATTTAGCAATCGTAAAGCTGGGTGCAATATAGGACCTTGAGACAACAGATCTGGCTGACATGGGCAGGGCCCGTCTACTTCCATCTTCACTATGTCCATGTACCAGGCCCTCCTGGGCCAGACTGGAGCAATCAGTATCACCGGAATAGACGCCATCCAAATCCTGCATAAGACACGGCAGCAGCTGGATCAGAGGAAAGGCATAAATCAGTGGGAACTGGTTTCAAGGAATCACTAAGGTGTCTACCCTTACCGCGCGAGGGTCCCTTACCCTGGACACAAAAAGACAGACCTTGTTGTTGAATCTGGATGCCAATATATCTACATCTGGGCAATCCCATCGCTGGCAGATTTCCTTGAAAACACTGAGATGTAAAGCCCATTCCCCTGGAAACAACTGCCGGTAACTCAGAAAATCCGCCTGCAAATTTTTCAAACCTGGAATGAACGCTGCTGACAGACTTGGAACATACCTCTCTGCCCAGGTCAGAATGTAGTTCACCTCGGATGTCCAATATCTCAGAGCCAGCCTCAATGCTCTAAGTTCCTGGACATTGATGGGAAGAACCTTTTCCCATGGAAGCCATGTTCCCTGAACTGTGGCCTCCTCCAGAACAGCCCCCCAACCTGAAATGCTGGCTTCGGTGGTTACCAACTTCCACACCACTGGCCGAAAGGATTTTCCCTTCTCCAAATTGTGAGTTAACCACCAATTCAGGCTCTGCTGCACCTCTGGAGACAGAGATATGCAGTAATTGAGGGCTGGAATCTTTTTGTTCCAGACAGAATGTACCTTTGCAGCGGTCTGAAGTGGAACAGAGCATAAGGAATAGCCTCGAACGAGGACACCATTTTTCCCAGCAACCTCATACAGAGGCGAATTGAAGGATACCTCTTGGCCTTCAAACTGCAAACCTCGTTCCTCAGGGCACAACATTTCCCTGGAGGCAGAAATACCTTTGCCTGAACAGTGTCTAGGACCATCCCCAAATATTCTAGGCTCTGCACTTCCAGGGCCGACTTCTTGAGGTTGGGCACCCAGCTTAGCTGTTCCAGGATCTGCATCGCAATCTTTTATGAGGAATGAATATCGGTACATGTAGGTATGCGTCCTTGAAATCTATGGACGCCAAAAAAAATATCCTTCCTATAGAGAGACCGCTACTGACCAAATCGATTCCATATGAAAGGATCAGACATTTTGGAACTGATCTAGCCCCTTGAGAGGTGGACCTTGGATCTGTCTTAGACGACTTTTGCACCAAAGGCCTCCTTGGGTTTTGATTCTGAGATCAACCTCTGGAGGCTGGGACCTGCGTGTGGTGAAATGACTGGCTGGTAGATGAGGGCCCAGCAACCGAAGTCCCTGACACCTTAAAAGAAGGGCATTTGGATTTCCTCTTAGGAGGATAGTAGAGGACTCTTACCCCCTGACATTATTTTTTTCAGCCATTCCCCATGAAAGGGAAAACCTGCAAACTATTTGCATGGCAGTTCTGCCGACCAACTCTTCAGCCACAAAACCCTGCGCATATGCACTGATAAGAGGGCAAGCGAGAAATTTGCTGAATTGAATCCTTAAGAGCATCAACCACAAAACACACGAATCCTCCAAATCCTCAGCCAAGCATTCCCCCTGCACTGATGGTCTTCCAATCCGCTGCTTGACATGGTCAAAAAGACTCTGGCAAATGCCAGCTGGCTGTGCGGCAGAACCTGCCAGGGAGGAGGAAGCATTAAGGAGAGACTCCAACTTCTTATCTGCTAGGTCCTTGAAAACCTGTACATTATCCACAGGCCATGTTAAAGATTTATTCAGGGATGAAACAGCTGCATCCACTACAGGCAACCCCCATTTCTTAAACTTTTGTTTCATGGGGTACAAGAAAGAAAAAACTCTTTGGTGGAACAAAAACCCTGTCTGGGTGGTCCCAGTCAACATACATAATTTGCTCCAGAACAGGATGCACTGGAAAAGCCTGAGTACTCTGTGAAGGCTTCAAAGAGCCCAGGAAAGAATAAGTAACCTGAGGTTTCTATTGGAGATAGCCTGAATCCAGAACTTACCATGTCAGTGAGGCTCCTGACTGACTGGTCCATGCTTCCCCTTCAGGGAAGTACTCAAGTGCCCCTACAGAATAGCTCGCTCTGTGTCCGGCCACAGGAGATTCCCCAGCAGCAGCACCCCACGTGTCTTGGCCTCCAAATAAACAAATATGGCTGACTTCCGTTTCCAGCCGGTACTGCGCCTGCTCGCATGCTGGCTGTGCTCCCTCTAGTGGCCAAAAACAAAAGAGCACCCCCTCCCCCTCCCGGATGGAAAGTCACAACACCTTTCCTTTTCCCTCCAATTTAGAGCTTTGTTCGTTTCTCTTTACTGGAGAGAAAAAAAAAAGGAGATATCTTACTAGTCCCGCTACAGGCTTCTCTCAGGTACCAACCTTCACCCACTACGGTGGGCATTGTCATACGAACCTTCAAGGACTCACTCTCCATGCTGAGGGGCCATTGCCTTGGACCCATATAGCACCTCACTGGAAGCACCTTGGTCAGATTTAAAATTGCACAGGGTTCCATCTGTGTGGGGTCCAGCATCATAAGGCTGTATCACAGGCAAAACCTCGAGGATACTTCTCCTTATCCAGCGAGGCTTGGGTACCATCCATCTTGGCTCACAGCTTTCCAAAATGGATCCGATTAAAGTCTCTGATTCTCTACTGAAATCGTTCTGAACTCTCAGGTATGCTCCAAGAGCACAGCAACACTTCCAGTAACCATCCATCTTACAGACACTGGCAAAAAAACTGAAGTACTTCCTGTATAGGCAGCAAGGACTTACTGTACATGGTCTCAGCATCACTTTGTTCTTGTGAAGCAGAAGAGAAGGCTATCTACAGGATAAAGATGCAAATTCAAATACTCTCCTAATCGAGGTGATAGTCACAAGAAAGGCAACCTTGAGTGATAGGAGAGGGAGAGAAATATCCCAAATGGGTTCAAATGGTGGTGTCTGAATGACCAACAAGAATAGACTAAGGTCATACATGGTTAGCGGGTAGCTTACTGGTGGAACAATTTGAGCCACCCCTTGCACAAAGGCTCTGACCAAGGTGTGAAAAGCCAGCAGTCTATGAAAGAGTGCTGTCAAGGAAGAAACCTTACCTTTATAGTCCTCAGGACTAAGTACTTATCCAGCCCAAAGTGAAGGAAAGAGAACACCCATGCCACACAGAATTTGGTGGGATGAACCTTAATCTTTTGCATCAAGCAAAGTATGCTTTCCATGTGCAGTAGTAAACCCTTTCAGTCTTCAGCAAAGAGAAAATCATGCCATCGGCAAGACCCTTGTCCTTTAGCAGGAACAAAGCCAGCAATCGTGAAGCAGGATGTAACATAGGACCTTAAGAGATAAGGTTCAGTAGGGCCCATGGAGGGTCTGCTAAAAGTCTGACTATGTTCAAGAACCCAGCCTTCAAATCAATGCAGTGAGAATCACTGGTATGCCTATCCTCTTTGGGGGGGAATTGATGTATAAATCATGTTGAAATAATTCCACCTTTGCACAGACATGTTCAGTTTGTGGTTGCATCTCAATACCATTAGATCTATTTCTGACATCTCCTACCAAAGACAAAGTTGGTGAAAAACCTCTCCAGGTGGAGGGACCACTTAGGGTCAAAATAATCTCCACTTCCCGAAGAGTACCCTGACTTCTCATACCACTCTGATGGTTTATGTACACTACTGCCATGGAGTTCTCAGACCCTGACTGGCAGTCCCCAGAGCAAATGGATCCAATGCTGAGGGGCAAGCTGAATCACGCTGAGCTCCAGGACATTTATCAGCATCCTAGCTATCTTTCATGACCATGTTCACTTAACTGACAGAGAATCCAGAACTCTTCCTCAGCCTGACAGGCTGGCATCCATCATCAGGACTTTCCACATCACAGAGAGAAAGGACTCCTCAAACTCTGAGCTGGACGGCCACCATTTTGAGGATGACTTGTCTGTGGTGATAGGAGACATAGGGTCATCCAAGGACAGAGTCCTTTTGTCCCAAATTGTCAATTGAACTACAACAGTCTTGACTGAAACCAAGTTTTCAGGACTGCTTTAAAAGATGCTGCCTTCAACCCCAGTACCTTCATGAAGTAGCAAATGTTCTAGGGAGCTCAAATCCCACACTGTGTTCGAAGCTTTTTCTGGGGAATGAAGATCCATTCCAGGGCTGTGACCAAGATGAGGCCCAGATACTCCAGTCAGTGCGATGGCTCCAGGGTCAACTTCTTTTAGTTGAGGACCCAGATGAAGTCCTGAAGGACTTGCACCGTTTGCTGCACTTTGATTGCCCCTATCCCCCTGGCTTGCAAAAGAGCCAAAATCAGGGAAAGCACCTTTGTGAACACACATGGTGCTGTGGCTACCCACCTACCTAAGGGAGCAACTGGTTTGAAGCAGCAAACAGGGCTGCAAAGGACTTGGTTGGTGGTTTGGGCACTCTCCAAGGCCCCAACCCTGAAACCTTAGACCCCAAATGTTGTATTAGCAACAGCTTTACGTTCTTACAAACCTCTTTGAGAAACCTCACTGTGGACCATTGAGATGGAGATACACTAGAGTTCTGGCATTCTCTTCAGAGGATCCGTCTGCCTCAGAGGCGTCCTCTGTCACAGAACCTCCCCCTCTCTTCCATTTCGAGAAAAGGTGGTAGAAGGAAATCACAATGTAGCTCCAGTGGCGATGGAGACCTAGACTTCCTCCAATCATCTCTCCACAGTGCCTTACAAATATCTGCTGGCTGTTCCAACTCATTGAAAAATGCAGCTAAGGATTCCTCTTTGGGCATGAAGGTCCCTGAGGATTGAGCTCCTGAAGAAGTTTGTGTAAAAATAGATGTTGCCTGAGAGCCAGAGCCTAGTTGCTGCCCTATAAGAGAAACAATAGAAGGAAGTCTGTCTACTTAAACAAGGGAGTGTGGTGGCCCTGATCCCCCTGGTGGCAAATTCAAGTTGCCTGCCAAGCCTACAAGAGGGCCCAATATTCACAATATTGAGAAAGAGCACCAATATGGGGGGAGGGGAGCCTTTAGAGCTCTGCAATAAATGTCCTGCTCAGCTGTTGCCCACAGTAATAAAGGGGTAATTGCAAGATGTGCAAACGCTTGCCCACTGTGGTGTCTAGGCTGCCTTTGCAAAGATGCACTGGTGGGCTGGGAAATAGCTGCACACCATCGCTGCCGGGTTATGCTGAAGCACTGCTAAGTCTATGCAGTGGCGCGCAGCAGGAATCACCCCTTCAATGCATGCCCATATCCCCTTCTGGTGGTGCTGCACAAGCTCTGACGCAGTTCCTCCAGGTAGAGGTAGCGAACTGCCTGTGCCACGAGTCCCATGAATTGCCAAATGCAAAGAGAAAGCACATGGTACAAAAAGGGGCATGCCCATCTTCACCTTCTTCATGATACGCATACTCCTCAGGTTCATCAGGCCCTGGACCTATAGAGCAACCCAACTGCTAGCTTATGAATGTAACTGCCTACCAAAGTAAGCACCACACATGGGTGCCAGTGCCAATGCAGCTTACAGGTTGTCCCAATTATTCCACCAGGGACCAGGTACAGGCATCATCCTTCTGTGATATAAAATTTCATATAGCCAATCCACAAAACTGCCATTGCTATCAAGCACTGAGGCTCAGTAGAGAAAGTCAATTCAAACTGAAAAGTAGAAATGTAAATGCGGTAAAGCGGAAATGGCTCTCTCAGCTGAGAGAGACAGCTCCACCACTGACAGACACTAGCAAAAAACAATTCTGGGAGTGGAAGTGGTTATGCAGGGCAGTGTCAAGCTTTGCTATTTGCCAGTGTCCGATCACCTGGATGTGGAATATAAACCAGTAGCCTAAGAATTAACTATCCTGTGACCTGTGATGTATGGTCAAGAACATGAACATTTAACTGTTACATTTTCTAATCAGCCCTATAGTGTACAGACCAAATTTCAGAAACACTTTACTTCTCATACTTGAAGCTAACTGCTTCTACTGAGGATACTTTAACTGTATAACAGCAATAAAAACATAGTATAATACCTTATATGGAACTGTGAGTATCGGGGTTCACCTGAAGCTTTTTTTATATCCATTGCTATAGTTTTCCATCCATCTTGCGGATCAAGAAAATCAGCCAGCTGTCTATATAATCCAGGACTCAGTTTGCGGACAAAAGTGGATGGTGTTACGGTGTTACTCATTTTCAAATTCTGTATTAAAAATAGACATTTTTAATTCAGAGTAATGAGCTAAAATAGGAACAGAACAAACACATGCAAATACAAAACCCCGCCCTCAGCTAATTACTGAACTCCTCCACTCTTCCTACCACTCCATCCCCCACAGCTATTTCCTCTTGTACCACTATCCCCTCTCTCCTAGATTGTAAGCTCCAAGGAGCAGGGCCCTTGAACCCCTGTGTATTGAATTGTATTGTTACTGTACTGTCTCATGTTCTATCTCCAATTATTATGTACAGCGCTGAGCAAACTGTTGGCGCTATATAAATCCTGTATAATAATATAATAATAGCTACAATTGATTACCAATCTCGTGGCATGGTAGGACATACCTACTTAACATGCTGCCTCCACTTCTAATAAAGCTAGACCTGGGTTATTTATCAATGGACCCCATGCTGATAACACTAGTTTCTCTAAGGCACCTTGCACATGGGTGTAAAAACTGACGGATAAGAAACAGGCGGCAATTCATTCTATGTATATACCGATGTAAACAGATGACCCGTCTGTTCAGTTCTGTTTTTTTAAGCGGAACAGCCAATGTCCAGATCCGTTGAAATGGAACAGATGTAGAGTATTGCAGGATGTTTAACTGCTTCCCATCTGGCCTATAGCAAAATGACAGCTGAGTTGGAGCTTTCCCATCCTGGGTGGATGTCATATGATGTCCTCCCTGTTGCACACTGCGTACTCTACTGGTCATGTTCTAGTGCTCCATCGGAGAGAGCAGTTGACAGACCATTGCACCAGTTATATTCAATGAATGGTTTCATTCATTGAGTACTACTGTGATAATCTCTGTGACTGGTCACAGTGATCACATGGTAAAGACAGGGCCAATCACAGCTTATCTGTACCATGTGATAGCTGTGGCCAATCACAGCTATCCCAATACTACACATTGGCAATGAATGGATTCCATTCATAAAAATGATTGCTTATAACCGTTATCACTGTTCTAAGTAATTATAGTGTAAAAATAAAATCCTGATCACCTCCCCAGAGTAGTAGATTGTCACTATGGTAACACAGTACTGCTCTGGTGACAGGATGTAAAAAAAAAAAAAAATAAATAAAAAAAAAAATTGGGGGATTTCTTCCACTTTCAGTGAAACAGGACAGAGAGGGTGAATCTCCCTAACAGGGGCACAGACAGGAAAAAAACCAGAAAAGTGGTCTAATCCATTCTATTAAAAAAAAAAAGTTGTGCCTTTAGTTACACTTTGATGATTGCTTATAACCGTTATCATCACAGCTGTAAGCAATCATAGTGTAAAAATAAAATCCTGATCACCTCCCCAGAGTAGTACATTATCACTATAGTAACACAGTACTGCTCTGGTGACAAGATGTAAAAGAAAAATGGGGGATTTCTTCCCCTTTCAGTGAAACAGGACAGAGAGGGTGAATCTCCCTAACAGGGGCACAGACAGGAATAAAACCAGAAAAGTGGTCTAATCCGTTCTATTAAAAAAAAAAAGTTGTGCCTTTAGTTACACTTTGATGATTGCTTATAACCGTTATCATCACAGCTGTAAGCAATCATAGTGTAAAAATAAAATCCTGATCACCTCCCCAGAGTAGTACATTGTCACTATAGTAACACAGTACTGCTCTGGTGACAAGATGTAAAAGAAAATTGGGGGATTTCTTCCACTTTCAGTGAAACAGGACAAACAGAGAGGGTGAATCTCCCTAACAGGTGTGCAGACAGCAAGAACACTGGACAAGTGGTCTAATCCATTCTACTTAAAAAAAAGTTGTGCCTTTAGTTCCACTTTATGAAGAAGTGTGTCAGTAGCCCCTTCTATTAGAGAAGTGAGGCATTAGTCCCATACAAGCCAAGCTGTCCATACCTAACACTAATGGGTAGCCCCTCCACAGAAGTATGGCACTTCCAGACCGGGAACATAGACTACCCTGGTAAGTACCAACTAGACAGCCTATTTAGGGGGGACAGGGAACACTTCACTCACCAGTCCGGAGCCCTCACGTCACATACTAGTCCTCTCCACAGACACATTTCCGCCTCCGCCTCTCCCTGCTTTTCACCACACTGGAAACTCCAAGCAGTCCGTACACCCCGTCCGCCTGCACCCTTTGTGTGCCGCCTCACTTCCCATTCAACTAAGAGAAACTCCGTTCACGTTCAATATGTTCCTTTAAGAGGGCGTGTCTGGCTGCAGGTTGTGGCGCTGGCGATTGGTTGGTGTGGAAAGAGCGGGGCGTGGTCTATATTCAGGAAGTAGGTGATGCTCAGAGGATCCGTACAGTGAGGTTAGCCATGTGGATGGGGTGTAAGGTGTATGGAGGGGGGGGGTAATGGCAGTACGTAGAGTTGTGCTCAGAGCTGCTTTATATGTGCAGCAAATATACCTCTGAGGTTGGCACAAGCCATGGGCACAGAGCTGGCAGCTGGCCCTAAGCAGAAGTTGGGAGAGGGGGGTATTGTGATTTCTAATAGGTGGCCATGCTGTCACGTGGGGTAAGCAGGGTATTAGACTGCATTCACACTTGTGTGCAAAAATCATGCGTTTTTGCACCCTGCACACAGGACTGCCCATGGGTGACCCTGTACGTGGCCAAGCAGTCCATTCCTAACACCTTTTTTATGTGCGTTTAATGCACTTTTTTTTTGCATGAAAACCACCCATGTTTGGTGTGCCGTTAGCAATGAATGGTAATGCAAGTGCAATGTACTTTATTTGCACGTTTTGTAAATGTGCATGAAATTGTGCGATTCTACATACATGTACGAAAAATGAAGTGTGAAAGGCTAAGTTCACCTTTAGACCTGGTTCACACTGAGGCGGTGCGGGATTTGCAGCATTTTCAGTGCGAATACTGCACCGCATCATAATCGCACTCTGTTCATGCGAACCGCTGCGGTTGTGTATGTTAACAACACCCGAAAGCGGTCTGCAAAACAGTGCGATGTACAGAATCGGATCACATGGGTGTGAATACTTATGTGATCTGATTCTAGTGTGGACCCAAAAAAGGGTCCCGCACGTTTTTGGTGCAGGTGTGATTACAGCCATACAAAATGTATAGCTCCGATCGCACCGCACACAAATCGCATGTGATTTGCACAGCAATGCGGTGCGGTTCCTGTGCGAATCACATGCAATATACCGCATATATGTGAACCCACGCTTATAAAAAAAAATGCAGATTTTTGCAGAAAAAAAATGTGCATTTATTATTTTTTCACAGCAGCCTGGAGAGCATTACACCCGCAATCAGTGGATGGCAGGTGCAAAGTCAGGCTCCTGCAGACTCATCCTATAACTCTGTGTCCATGAATGGACTACGAGTGCACTGAGCAGTGCGCCTGCAGTCCATTGAGTGCCGCTTCACATTGCACATCGCATGTGATTCGCACAGGAATCGCACCGCATTCCTTTGTAAATCACATGCAATTTCTGTGCAGTGCAATTTGAGCCATATATTTTGTATGGCTCAAATTGCACCACATTTGCGGAGGACCCTATTTCTGTCTGCACAAGAATCAGATCACATGGATGTGAACCGGCACTGAAACTAAAGACTTGTAGTTTATTCATTCACAGATTACTGAATGAATGATGTGGCTGATGGTTGCAGTCATGTCAATTTTAAATGCAGCAGTGAAAGAGAGGGAAGGGGGGACTAAAGCCTCGTACACACGATGACAATATTGGACAAATGATTTGGGTTTTTTTTTTGCATGCTAGTTTCGTATCAAAAATAAATAGGTTAATAAAGTTACATAAATTCTGATAAAACAATACAACTTGTCGCAATGATGTAATGGATTGTTTCATTTCTGAGCATGCGCGGTGTTGGGCACTCAATTTTTTTTATGGATGAATAATTCATTGATTAACCCCTTGGCGCTGACGCCTCCCAGCCCTTTAAGGGTTTCAGAAGTCGGGAGGTGGGGCGGGATTTAGGGTCATGTGACATGCCGTCTTGATGGTCACATGATCGGGAAAGGTCCCGATCGAAAGAGGAGATCGGCACCTTTCCATGAGTACTGGACGTGTGCTGGGAGCGCGCAGGCCACATGCTCTCAGCACATATGTTTTTCTTAATTGGATGCAAATGTGCGGTCGCTCGGCGTCAAGGCCCAGATGCCGGGAGGCTGCACATTTGCATGCGGCCGGCGCCAAGAGGTTAAACAAAAATTGTTCATTCTGTTATGAGAAAAAATGTCATGTTTGTCCCTTCAGATATTTTCATAGGAAAAGTGATTGGCTCTGGAAAGCTGTATAGTAATGATGTGATGGATGACCGCTCAAAAAAACATTTTTTTTTCATCCGATTTTCCTATCGTGTACTAGGCTTAAAGGGGAGAGGGGGATCTGCTTGAACATGTTACACCCTAAATACAGATGTAACATGTTCAAAGGGTCAACCTATCCTTGACCCTAGGTTTCAGTGCATTTTCCAGTATGCAGTAACAGACTACAGTCCATTTAACATGGTTTCCTATGGATCTAGTTTACATCTGTGCCTTTTGAGACGGTGCTTTTTTGGAAAGGGTCATTGCCTTTTTTTTTTCCCACAGCAGATTGCGTTTAATAGACTTCAGTGGACCCGCACCAAAAACGCAAGTGTTGCATTTTTTATGCATTTTGTATTTATTTTGTTGGCTAATAGGAAAGTATGACCATTCTGTTCATGTAGTGCGACTTCGATTCAACTTTACACCCTGGCACTCAAGTAGCATCACAGTAGTGCAAGAACCTTTATGTGTCCAAAGTGTCATGTTCGGGTTCTAAGGTCTAGGGTTAGGGTTAAGGACTAGGGTTAGGGCAAAATTTAAGTCAAGGGTTAGGGTTAAATGTTAAGGGCTGTCCTTAACCCTAACATTTAACCCTAGCCCTTAACCATAACCCTAACATGGTAGGGTGTGGGTCTTCAGTCCTACCTGGAAGTCTAGGAAGAGGATGTATGGGTAGAGCCTGCCACACAGCACTCGTTGGTCAGGTTCAGCTGATTATGAGGAGTGGGCTCTACCAGGCTTTTTGGCTAGGTGGACCTGAGTATGCCTTGCCACCATTAGGGAGGCAGGGGTCAAAAGACGCATCCTAGTGCATTTTTGTGGTTGTGAGTTTTCACATGTACTTTTTTGGTTACTATCATGTTATACATGCATTGTCTGTGTGTTTTGTCATTTAATAATTTTGTTCCTTCCTCACCCTGTAGCTAGGGTTTGTTCTATGTAGTTAGTCCCTTCCTTCTTCATGCTTAGTCTCCATTTTTGTTCTCCACATGTACTGTGTCCAGCAGGGGCTATAGACACACCATGATTTTTTTGCTCAATCTGATGTTCATCTGTATGATCTTCACAAGTTTTGGAGTAAAAACGTTCTACGATCTACTGGATGTCATTTGGATTGGGTCACTGTCTGCTAATCTTACTGAGGTTGTGAGTAAGACATCTCATACACTGGGCTAGTTAGAGATTCCACTTGCAGTGTGCAGTGCTTACAGTGAATATAAAAAGTCTACACACCCCTGTTAAAATGTCAGGTGCCTGTGATGTAAAAACATGAGACAAAGATAACTAATTTCAGAACTTTTTCCACCTTTAATGTGATCTATAAACCGTACACCTCAATTGAAAAACAAACAAATCTTTTTTTTTTTGGGGGGGGGGGGGGGTAAACATAAAAAACTAAAATAAAGTGGTTGCTTAAGTGTGCCCACCCTCTTATAAATGGGGATGTAGCTGTGTTCAGAATTAAGCAATCACATTCAAAATCATGTTAAATAGGAGTCAGTACACACCTGTCATCATTTAAAGTGCCCCTGATTAACCCCAAATAAAGTTCAGCTGTTCTAGTAGGTCTTTCCTGACATTTTCTTAGTCACATCCTACAGCAAAAGCCATGGTCCGCAGAAAGCTTCCAAAGCATCAGAGAGATCTCATTGTAAAAAGGTATCTGTCAGGAGAAGGGTACAAAAGAATTTCCAAGACATTAGATATACCATGGAACACAGCGAAGACCATCATCAAGTGGATAAAATATGGCGCAACAGTGACATTACCAAGAACAGGACGTCCTTCTAAAATTGATGAAAAGAATGACGAGAAGAAAACTGGTCTGGGAGGCCTACAGCAACATTAAAGGAGCTTCTGGAATATCTGGCAAGTACTGGCTGTGTGGTACATGAGACAACAATCTCGCATATTCTTCATATGTCTAGGCTATGGGGTAGAGTGGGAAGACGGAAGCCTTTTCTTATGAAGAAAAACATCTAAGCCCAGCTAAATTTTGCAAAAAACACATCTGAAGTCTCCCCAAATCATGTTGGAAAATGTGTTATGGTCTGATGAAACCAAGGTTGAACTTTTTGGCCATAATTCCAAAAGCTATGTTTGACGCAAAAAAACACTGCACATCACCAAAAGAACACCATACCCACAGTGAAGCATGGTGGTGGCAGCATCATCATGCCTTGATGCTTTGGGGCTGTTTTTCTTCAGCTGGAACTGGGGCCTTAGTCAAGGTAAAGGGAATTATGAACAGTTCCATATTCCAGTCAGTATTGGCACAAAACCTTCAGGCTTCTGCTAGAAAGCTGAACAAGAAGAGGAACTTCATCTTTCAGCATGACAACGACCCAAAGCATGCATCCAAATCAAGAAAGGAATGGCTTCACTAGAAGAATATAGTTTTGCAATGGCCCAGCCAGAGCCCAGACCTGAATCTGATCAAAAATCTGTGGGGTGATCTGAAGAGGGCTGTGCACAGGAGATGCCCTCGCAATCTGACAGATTTGGAGTGTTTTTGCAAGGAAGAGTGGGCAAATGTTGCCAAGTCAAGATGTTCCATGCTGATAGACTCATACCCAAAAAGACTGAGTGCTGGAATAAAATCAAAAGGTGCTTCATCAAAGTATTAGTTTACAGGTGTGCACACTTATGCAACCATATTATTTTAGTTTTTTATTTTTACTTCCCTTCACCTAAAATTTCAATTTGTTGTTTAACTGAGTTAGGGTGGAAAAAGTTCTGAAATGATTTATCTTTGTCTAATTTGTTTACATCACAGAAACCTGACATTTTAACAGGGGTATGTAGACTTTTTATATCCACAGTAGATTGGAGAGGCAGAACAGTCCCCTTTGGTGTTTTGTTTTTGCACACTGCACCACAGGCTTGGAAAAAAAAGACAGTTGCCAACATCTTCCCCCTAGCCTCTTCTTGGTGCAGATCTCTGACAATCCTGATTGGCCGGTGCAGAATTACGTCACTCCTACACATGCATGGGATTCATTCATCCTAGTGCACTGGCAGTTCCGCTTTAAGTAAAAAGAAAAGATCTTGCCTTTAACAGACAGTTACATTTTTACACTTTTATTTTTACAAATTTACAGTGCAAGTTAGGCTGGCCATTATATATTGGATGCCTCCATTCACCTTGTCACTTCATACTGCGCACATAGCTGACTTTCCCACTGAGCCTATTGTATTCTATCAGCCAGCTACAGTCAGATGCAGCCTTTGTTCAGCCAACAATTCTCCACCCAGCTCCCTCAGTTTTTCAATAAAAGTTTGTTGGGTGTATTGCCTTGCACTGTACTGTCCTGAAAAAGTCTGTATACATAGTATTAGGTTTCCTTCACATGGAAGAACATTGACCGTGGCAAGAATCAGCGGATTCTTGCAGCTGGGCAAATCAGTGATTGGGACTGATCCGTTCACTCCTATACAAAGCAATGACCCTTGTCTCTAGCTGCAGGTAACCGCTGGATAATTATATAGAGTACATGCAGAGATCGTTGGACAGCTGTGTCTCCTGTCAGCCTGTCATTGCTTTGCAAAGGCTGAATGGCCATAGCTTTCCGCAACCACTTGTCAGCTCAGCTGCAGCAATACGCTTTCTCTTGATGCTGTCCATGCCTTTCCAATGAATGATTCCAATGGTTATATACATTGTTCACACAAATATAGCAAATAATCTTCTTTTTCTTTTTTAGATTATGCATCTGCAAAATGGAAGACAGATTTCCAGATACATGGCTTGATTCTCTTTGTTATGTTAGTGATCATGTTGGTTTTTATGGAACTATCAAACATTCTCCAGCTGACTTTGTTGTCACAGAGATTGATGTCACTGGTCATCTGGTTACAGAGGATCACATTAAAGAACCTGAACTCAAACTGAGAGATAATAATAATGAACCTGAGTTTAAAAAACAGAAAGCTGACCTAAGAGACGTTGAAGGTAACACAGTACAGGCTGGATGTCAAGGTGATAACATAGATGATGTTGCTGAGACCCTCAGTCCATTGGATTGTGAGACAGGCTTATACAAGGTACTTAACCTTTTATTGAGTATAGATGTACAAAAAGCTTTAAACAACTTTGCCAACTCAGTAAAATCTGCTTTTGAATCCCAAGTTGAAAGATGTGAGTCTGATGAACTTTCTTTGGGCCTCTTTTCCAGTAAAGATGACAGAGCCATTATTCACAGTGCTGTTCGGCAGACGTTCCCATTCCTGGTAACGTTCACCAAAAACACAGAGCTCCTAGTTAAACCAAGCCTGGATTACCAAGAACTTTCTCAACTTACATCTGAAGAGGAAGCGGACAAATTCTTTACATTTTTTAGATGCAAAAGTCAAAAACTCTACATTTACGTTTCAACCAGATGTGAGTAAAGAACACAGGACATCTGTACATCATTTCATCAGCAGGAAATTTGGGAAGTTAGTAGAAACCAAGTCGTTTTCAGAGAAAGACAATGATGGAGTGCAAAGTGTCTTCATAACTGTGAGGTTCAGAGAGAAAAAGAGCTCCTCCAGGAAGAGGTCGTGCACAGATGAACACTCTGAAATATTTACAGGTAGGAATTAATCTGTTCCTGTCACTTCACACAGGAAATTTTGATAGCTGAATGCAATTACAGAATATGTCTGTCATTCTGCACGTGTTGTCCATAAATGGATGTACTTTATGAGGAAGTCCCAAAAATGATCAAACGCACCTCTGATGTCCAGTCCAGCCAGTATTTTGACTGTGAATTTAAAACTGTAACTACATATGTGGATGTTCTTTCAAAGTACCCCCAGATATTGACCCTGCAGTGTGTGTATGATGGTGGAAGGACCAGTACATTGTGAGCATATTTGTGGTCAGGGACTGGTGTGAGTCAGTTTTCTCTTTAAAGCACGTTGGAATATGCTTTGTGACATAACTGAATAATATATGTACAGTATATGTACGTATGAAAAGAAGAAGAATCTCGCAGCGGAGCTTCACTCTCACTACCTGAAACTAAATTCTCTCTAATATTTCCTCTTGTGTGAGAATAAACATGCTTACTAGTCCATGGAGTCATGTTGTCCACTTTCCAGCTAAAGTTTACACCTGCGCTTCTCTGCTTCTGCATCACTATCTTAAGCAGGGTTGCTCAACTGGTGGCCCAGAATTTCCTGTTCTGGGATGGCGGGTCGGCAAGCCCACTTCATGGGTTGCCGACCTGAAATCTCTGAGCATCAATATAAATGGAGCCAGTGCTGGAGGAAGCAATCGCTGCATAGGGAGCAGGAGCTGCATAAGCTGATGCTTCCTCTATAGCGCTGGCTCCAGTTCAAGTGAAGTGATTTTGGTATTGCTCCAACTAGGACAGGAACATTTCCAACAGCAAGCGATGCCAGCAGAAAGTGAAAGATAAAAAGTCAGTTTGTTAACCAGTTCAAGTCCGGACACTTTTACCCCCTTCCTGCCCAGGCCAATTTTCAGCTTTCAGCGCTATCACAATTTGAATGACAATTGCGCGGTCATGCAACACTGTACCCATATGAGTTTTTTAGCATTTTTTTTATTAAGCTTTATTTTGGTGGTATTTATTCACCACTGGGATTTTATTTTATTTTGCTATATAAATGAAAATGTCCAAAAAAATGTTCTTATAAAATTTTGCAAATAAATATTTCATCATAAATCTTTTTCAAAATGTATTCAGTTATCTTTTTCGTAAAAAAAAAAAAACCTAAATTAATTTATAACCAAAAATTATAATTTTTTTTAAAAATAATTTACATTTTTATTTTTTTATATTCTTATGTTTTTTTTTCTACATACTGACACCCTAGCAGTATAGTGTCACCATGGTGATACTGTACTACTTGTGGGGGGTGATGAAGATTTTTTTTTTTTTTTTTACGCTGATTGCTTTTACACCCATAAAGGCTGTAAAAGCAATCATTTCTCCTTCTCTGGCTGCATTCTTGCAGCCATTGAGAACTACTGTGTGAGCTGTGATTGGTCACAGCTTGTCACATGGTACAAGGCTGACGTGAATAGCCTTGTACCATGTGACCTCTGTGATCATTCACAGATTTCACACGTAGTAAGCAATGATGTCAGAAGTGACATTTTGCTTACTACTCTGCATGTGATCACTGAGGTCCCGTACGACGATCGGTGTTCCACTGTGTCTGAATAGCGGTGTTGTGCGCTTGACTGGACCGCCCCTGGACTGCCACCGTCCAGCCGTTTATATACAGCGGCCGGACAGCAAGTGGTTAATAACGGGCACTTTTACCCCACTCCTTCCCAGGCCAATTTTCAGCTTTCAGTGTTGTCACAATTTGACAATTGTGCGGTCATGCAACACTCTACCCATTAAAAAAATGTATTTTTTTCACACAAATAGAGCTTTCTTTTGATGGTATTTAATTGCCACTGAGTTTTTTTATTTCTTGCTCAATAAGCAAAAAAATCCCAAAACTTTGGAAAAAAAAACACTTTTTTCTTCTATAAGATTTTGCAAAAAAATAACCTTTCTTCATAAATTTAGGTCAAAATGTATTCTGCTACATAAAATACCCCAAATTAGTGTGTAATATTTCGTCTGTAGGAAAGTTATAGAGTCCACAAACTATGGTGTGTGTTTATATATATAAATCAATCAATCCTGATGTACTGACGGCTCGAAAATGCCAGGATAATACAAATACCCCCCCCCAAATTTTTGGAAAATAGACAGTCCAAGGTATTTAGTAAGAGACATGGAGTTTTTTGAAGTGGTAATTTTTTTTGTCCCACTGTTTTGGAAAATGAATAAATTAAAAAAACAAAAACACAATTTTTTTTTTTTTTTTTACATATTGTCACCAGTCCAGTCCAGCGTTATCATATAACTGGTGTGGCAGTGATCAGGGACACTGACTGGTGACAGTATGTTAAAAATGTTTCTATTACTTTTTTCTTTTTTTATTGCATTTTTTTTCTTTTTTTACTAATTATTTTCAACACACTGTGACCAGAGCATTACAATGTTACCATGGTAGCATTGTACTACTCTAGACAAGTGATCAGGATTTTTTTTTTTTTTTTACACACTATGATTGCTTAAACCAATGTATTTCATTGATATTAGCAATAATTTTTACTGAATGAAACTGATTCATTCAGTCTTTTTGTCGTGATTAGCTGTGATTGGCCAAAGCTCATAACATGGTACAGATGGGCTGTGATTGGCCCTGTCTGTACCATGTGACCTCTGTGACCAATCACAGTTAACACAATTATATATAATGGATAACATGAAAGGAAGCCATCCATTTTATACAAATGTCATGTGATCTGCTGTGATTGGTCACAGTGGTCAAATGACATTGGCAGTGGGCCGGTGTAGTGCAAAGATTTCAAAACAAACTTCGTCCATGTTGTCATTATGGGATATTGTTTGTAGAATATGAGGGAAAATGAATTTAGTCCATTTTGGAATAAGGCTGTAACATAACAAAATGTGGCAAAAGTTAAGCGCTGTGAATACTTTCTGAATGCACTGTACTTTGTTATTTGATTCTTCTCCTTTTTGCCTTTGTAATTGAAGAAGCTATTACCTTTTATGACTTTGGCCTGTGGCTGGTCTTTTTCCTTCTCCCCCTCCCATTGAAGAGTCTGTAATCAGATCCTAATTTCATCAATTGACAAATGTTTGCCAGCCCCATCTTCCTATAAATTTAGTTCACCTTATGGGGAAGCCTCAGACAAAGGGTAAGGGAGAATGTTCATTTGTCCTTGCTGCATAAACCAGTTATAGACTGGGGCGGTGGCCATTTTACTTGCATGTTGTATTCTAGGTACGTGGGTGCACTAGGACACCCTGGCTGCCATTGTGCTATATGCTAGGGGTCCTGTGTACTCCTTTGCCTTTAAGAGAGGTGGGCTTCCTCAGGTCCACCTGCCCTTGATCTGTCCATTAAATACATGTGCCTCTACTATGGGGGCTCTCAGAAATTGTAGAGTTAGGACCACAGAATATCAGGGTGCTGTGCGTGGCTCTGTGGCTTACGTATGTATTTGCAAATGTGTGCTAACTAAACCCGTTTTTAACGCATACTGTTAGATAGGTTAATTCGATTGTTGGTAAGCTGGCTGGCAAGTTGACCAGGAACATTGTTCTCTCCCTTTTTTATTTGACATGCGTCTCCTGTTCATTTGTCCTTGCTGCATAAGCCAGTTATAGACTGGGGCGGTTGCCATTTTACTTGCATAAGGGAGAATGTCACCAGCACACTGAGGATCACCAATATGGGTCCAAAAGTTTTAATGAACATGCCTGATGAAGGGGTCCTGCAAAACTCCGAAACGTTGCCTTGCTGTAACTATGTGATAGTTCATTAAAACTTTTGGGCCCATATTGGTGATCTTCGGTGTGCTGGTGACATTCTTCCTTGTTGATCCTGTTTATTTCCAGCCGATGGTCGCTGCAGCACCCACTTATACACACAGCCATTTTTAACGTAGGGACATGTGTGTTTGGATTATACACTTGCAGGCAGGGGGTAGTCGTGGACAACCTTACCAACACCCCCTTTCCTCTTTCTGATCACAACCTCATCACTTTCATAGTATCCTTGTCTTTAACCACTTATCCCTCCAAGCAGCAAATGATTACTTGTAGAAAACATCACCACTTTAACTTGTAGAAACCACCACCTCTATGACAAAATCTCTTCCCTTTCCTTTCCTAACCTGGTAATGCCAATCACTTCAAACATGAGATTGATGCAATAAGTGAGGACACATCCACTATACAGATATCTTCCCCACGTAACATACCTTGTCCAACAGCACCGTCAACACTTCCTCTTTTGACCCGGCTACTACTGAAGAGGTTACCAAAATGTTAACAGATGGCCACCTAACCAATTGTCCCCTGGACCCTGTTCCCTCACAACTACTATGGTCACCCTCTTCTATCCTATGCTCTTGCACTCACATCTTCAATCTCACCCTCTCTACTGGCACCTCCCCCTCCCCCTAAAGCATGCACTGATCACTCCCATACTTAAAATTCCCTCACTGGACCCAACCAACCTGGACAACTTAAGACCCATCACCTTGCTCCCATTCACCTTTAAACTTTTAGAATGCTTAGTCTACAACCGTCTTAATTCCTCACTAAAAACAACCTTTGCTTGCAGCACTCCTCAGAAACTGCTCTACTAAAACTCACAAACGATTTATTAACTACTGAAACCAATGGCCACTACTCCATTCTCTTACTACTAGACCTCTCTGCAGCCTTTGATACTGTTGACCACCCACTCCTTCTCAATAAACTCCACTGCCTTGGTCTCCAAGATTCAGCTCTATTCTGGTTCTCATCCTACCTGTCAAAATGCTCCTTCAGTGTTACCTATAACTTCATCTCCTCTCCACTTCCTCTTTCGGCAGGGGTCCCCCAAGGATCTGTTCTTGGAACTCTTCTCTATCTTTACCTCCCATGGCTTCAAATACCACCTCTATGCCGATGACACCCAAATCTATCTCTATACTCCTCACCTCACTCCTTCAGTCTCCTCTTGCATCACTAACTTACTAACTGACATATCAGCATGGATGTGGCTCCACTTCCTTAAACTAAATCTCTCAAAAACTGAGCTAATAATATTCCCTCCCCCTTGTGTACTCCTACATGACTTTTCCATCAAGATCAATAATACAACTATCAGTCCTTCCCCTCAAGCCAAGGTACTAGTTGTAATCCTAGACTCTGACCTATCCTTTTGGCCCCAAATCCAGTCGCTGTCAAAAACTTGTAGACTTCACCTCTGTAACATCTCTAAAATTTGCCCCTTTTTAACCAATGAAACCACCAAACTACTCGTTCACTCCCTTGTTATCTGTCGCCTTGACTATTGCAACTCCCTTCTCACTTGCGTATCTCTTCGTAGGCTATGCCCTCTTCAGTCTAAAATGAATGCTGCTGCCAGGATCATCTACCTTACCAACCGCTCAGTGTCTGCCACCCCTCTCTGCCAATCCCTCCACTGGCTTTTGATTGCCCAACTAATTAAATTCAAAATACCAACAACAACATACAAAGCTATCCACAACTCTGCCCTGAGCTACATCACCAATCTTGTCTCCAAATATCACCCAAACTGTCCTCTCTGCTGCTCTCATGACCTCCAGCACTCAAGCTCCCTTGTCTCCTCCTCCCATGCTTTTCTCCAGGACTTTGCTAGAGCCTCTCCCATCTTCTGGAAATCTCTACCTCAATGTGTCCAGCTATCCCTTACTCTGGCTGCCTTAAGGCGATTCCTGAAACTCATCTTTTCAGGGAAGCCTATCATGCCTCCGAATAGACATTTATCACTTCCATCAGCTCATCCCCCACAGTTATAACCTTTTGTGCCACTTGCACCACCCTATTAGATTGGAAGCTGAGTAGGGCCCTCTTAATCCTCTTGTTTCAATTGTATTGTAGCTGTACTGTCTCCCTTTATATTGTAAAGCACTGTATAATAATAATAGTAATATGCCATCCTCACCTAGGCGAAGAGTCTAGAAGTGGTGGACCCCTTTGTATTTGGACTCCTTTGTAAAAAAGAAAAAAAAAAAAAAGAGCAGCTGATACGAGGGTAATCCGATGGGTTGCAATCTACTTTTAATATACCTGAAGGACATCCTTGAAGTTTCTTGGAACTAGTATGAAGGTTTCATTCATCATATCCTTTTCCTAACTAGTGTAAATTATATTAAAGCACAATATATATAGAATAGTAAAGCCTTCTGGTGATAGTGTTAGAATTTCTAAATAACTGGTGTGGAAATAAGAGAAAATTATAGTAAAACCAATTTGCAGCTTTAGCATTCAATCCTAAGAAGATAGTCTCAAATGTCTCTCCATATACTGTACATAGCATTCAGTAATGAAAATCCTATGCCCTCCTCACCAGATTGGCAAATGAGTAAACACCCATCAAATGAATGCTCTAAAATTATTACCTTTTTCATATCAGCTGCGAAGAATAGAACAGGCAAGATTTGCCAACTTTATTTACCTAATATAAATGAAAAATACAAAAACCTAAAGCCCAACTCCAGCAAAAAAAAAAAAAGGGTTTTCTTGTAGTAGGGCTGTGCTTGCACTGCAAGGATTAAGTATTTTTTTTTCCAAGGGGGTGCAGAATGTGTTACACTCACCTGATCCTCCACTCCACTGGCAAACGGCACTCCCCCATGATCCAACGATGGACTGTTCTTAGTGTCCTCATGTCCAGAACTGGTCTAAGGAGCCTTCTCTGGGCTTGATGATGTCAGAAACATCCCGCCGCTCAAGACTCCTAGAGTGCGAAGCTGCAGGGAGGATTAGGTAAATATTACTCCCTTATCTTATCTCTCTCCTAGACAAAAACTAGCAATTACCACTTACAGTGCAGGCAAAAACTTTTTGAGAGTTCAGTTTTAAAACACAGAATATGAAGTAAATATTATTATCCATCACCTGAGCCAAGGAAACAAATCATATTATTGTACAAGTAATGCCTGTATTTTAACATCTGATTGGGGTTTATTTTAGTAAAACTGGGAACTGTTCAGGTTGGGAAGAAGTGACTTAAAGGCTTCTGTTTTAATAAATCCAAGGCCCTTATAAAAATTTGCAAATTATTTTCTCCTAAGGATATTTAGCAATAATGTAGGAAATGGTTCTTTACATTAAAAGTAGTTAAGCTATTGAATTACTTGTTTTAGAAGGTACCGGTAGAAAAAATAATAATGGCTGTAAAAAAAAACAAATTCTTGTATTGAGAAATTTCTGAAATGTATAGTTATTAGTGGCAAATGTAGTAAATTGTTGATCCAGGGTGTTGATTCAGCTGTTCATGTTGAGTTATTAACAGTAATTTTGGCAGTGGTTTAGGATGTTTTGTCTTCCTTTGGACAAACGTTTCACCAGTTATGAGAGGTCAGACTTGGGACTTTTTTGTTTTTAATAAACCTAAATAAATATGTAACTTGATTTTATTTTCTAGCATTTAGTTATCAAAAAAAGATGTGATTGTGTTGTTGCAGCATTTACCCTTGAGAAGGAGAACTTGGAAACACTAGAGGCTATCAGCTACCTGTCATCTTTGCTTGGTGTGCTTCCATCAGACTTCAGTTATGCAGGAATTAAAGATAAGAAAGCCGTTACTTATCAGTCTATGGTTGTCAAGAAAGTGACTCCAGAGAGGTGAGTTTTCTTCTCAGTTGATATAGTTACATAGGTTGAAAAAGGGCATTGAGTTCAACCAATATTTAAAAAAAAATGAACAGAAAAACTCCCTACACTGAATCATATGCCCATAGTTGATGCAAAAGTAAAAAAAAACCTTATGAAGCATGGTCCAGTTTGCTCCAGTGGGGGGAAAATAAATTTGTTCCTGATACCCCATAAGGCTTTCAGATATTCCCTGTATCAACAAACTCTGGTTTTATTACCTAGAAATGTTTGTTTCCAGTTATATTTTGTGCATTTGGGAATACATCCAGCTATTCTTTAGGACAGTCTACTGAACTAGTTCTTGGGGGGACCTATTGCACATTTTTTTTACAACTTTTACTATAAAGAAGCCTTAACTTATTTTTAAGTTAATCCCGTTTCCTCTCAAGTGTGCCCCCTTACCCTTTGAAATTACCTTGAAGTGCATAACTCTACACCAAGTTCACTATATGGACCACTTTTGTATTTACACATGGTGATCATATCCACCCTTAATCTCCTCTTCTCGAGAGAGAATACATTCAGTTTCTTTAATCTTTCCTCATAGCTGAGCTCTTCCATGCTTCTTATCACTTTAGTTGACCTCAGCTCTTTCTCCATCCATTTCCCCAATATCCTTTTTCTGAACTGGTGCCCAAAACTGAACTACATATTCCAGACGTGGTCTTACTAATGATTTTTACATGGGCAAAATTGTGTCTCACCCTCTAGTCTTTTAATACATGCTGTCTTTGAATCTATGATCTACCTGAATGCCTAGATCCTTCTTGACCATTGATTCCCCAGTTGTACTAATATAAGATGCATGTTTATAGCCCCAAGTGCATAACTTTACAGTTATCAACATAAATGTGGTATTACACCCACAAGCAAACATTTATTATATTGCAGCTTACCAATTTTTAGATGTGATGGCTACATTAGTTTTTTTTTTTTTTTTAGGCTTTTTTCCTTGGTGATCTGGCCAGTAAGACTATTGTTTATAAACAGAACATACTGTCCTGCAAATATCGCAGTCAGGAATGTTGAGACAAGCCATTTACGGCTAATAGGGGTTCTTACAATGATTAGCTTTTATTTACTCATGTAAATGAAAAACAACAGACTTACTGGCTGAATCACCAGATGAAAAGAAAATAGCCTAAAAAGAGACAACTAATGCAGCTATCACATCTAAGAACTGGTAAGCTGCAATATGATAAATGTTTGCTTTTTGGGTTTAATACTGCTTTAATTCCAAACTCTATCATTTAAAAAATGGGTTAAGGAGTACATCACTAATAACCTTGGACTATTCAGAGTATGAGTCATCACTACTCTCTAAATACAGTCCTAGAAAGTTTTGTGTCCATTAGCCATGTGCCAGGAACTGAGTCAAAGAGTTTTGCATTTTGTTGTTCTCTATGCAACATTAAATTTTTAAAAAGAAAAAAGTTAGGGTTCAAAGTTTTGAAAGCCAGCTCACAGTGTGCCAACATCCAATCCACATTTAACCATATGATGATTCTTGATACGGCAAACTAATTTCCACTTTTAGTGCCTATATGTAGTAGTGTTGGTTTATGCTGAGCCCTGACCATGGGGAACAATGAGGCTGACTTTACACCTTTCCAATACCTTGGGTTACCCACATTGTAACACATGTAAATACAATGTACGGTGTTGCATCGTATTTGGGCACTCTCATTCGTTTTGAATGCCACCTCGACACGCATATACCTTTAACAAAAAAAAGACGTGTGCTATAGTGTACCACAACACATAAATTTCAATCCATACGAGTATCTAAGGGCCCACGGTTTGTTTTGTGGGTTGGCATGTTTTTTTACTGTATTTGTTCATTGCAGTGCTATTAAAATGGCGCTGCACATATGCCAACTCCAACCCAGTCACTAGTAAATGGTGAGTGTAAGGCAACAGAGCCTTTTACTCACAAAGCAGACTTATGCAGGGTTCACAAATTCAGTTTTTTTTTTTTTCCGTTCAACCCAGCGGGCTGAATAACAAAAAAACCATAGATATCACTGTACTAAACAAGCGATGTTAGTGCAGTAATCTCTCCCGCTATGCCTTTGTGTTCTGGCATTGGCTGCAACTGCTGATTGGATGCTTGTTTTCCAGCATGCCTCTTTGATAAAAGCCAATCCTTAGATCGGACAGCTGAACCGGCCAATATTTGGACCATGTGTACCCAGCTTTACTGCTGTGCTGCAAATAGCTTTTTGCAGTAAGAGATCTAAACTGCAATGAGTCACAGAAGGGCATAATACTGCTCTCTCTCCCAGCAGAGAAAGAACTGTCTGGATATTCAGTCTGCAGTAGCAGTAAACAAAGTGACAAGCTAGAGGTGAATTTTCTTACCAGAAAGGCCACCATGCTCTGCAAACAAGGAATGCCCTTTATAAAATATTTATGTGTAGATTAAATATATTGATTCATTTACAAAAAAATGGCAACCACCCCAACCTATAACTAGGCTTTACAGCAAGGAGCACATAGAAGGGAAATGCAAACAAAACATTTCCCAGCATACTTGCCAGCCTGCAAAACAAACGAATTGCCCAGTCTAACAGTTTACATTAGAAACAGAGGGTTTTGTTTGCACACATTTGCAAATACATGTGTAAGCCGCAGTGCCCACATCAAGGAACCTCCTACTATAGAGTAAGGACTGCAGTATATACAGAGATCCCTTGATGTGGGCACTGCGGCTTACGCATGTATTTGCAAATGTGTACAAACAAAACCCTCTTGTGTATTCTGTTCACGTTCTTCTTCACAGAAAGAGTTGTGTTTTCTAAATATTATTTGGTTATGATATTTTAAATAGAATGTGCAAACGTTTTCTTTAAATTAATGTAATTTATAAAGCTTCTTGATTTAATAGTTAGTTTAATATTTTATAAGTGTACTTATGTTCTGCCATAACATTTTTTTCTTAGTTTTGGATAAAGTGGGGAAGGGTGAGAAGTACTGTCAGGTTTTATCTGCTATCTAGGACTGTGTTAGATTTCCTTTGATCTCCTGTCCGGCTGCCAAAGTTTTACCAAACAGGTAACTGAGTGAACTTCTGAAACAGCAATACAGACAGAAGTAAAAAAAAATGTTCTATAGTAGAGTATGTGAAAAATATATGCCTGGTCAGATTGTTATTTCTGTCTGTGCTCCCTTCAAAAATTTTTCCTCACTTCCTGTCTGGTGATACCTTTGTCATTGGGAGAGGAAGTAAAGTTAAATCTCTCTAATGGAGCCCGGAATAACAGTAAAAATAGGAGGTCTAAACCAAAACTACAAAAAAAAATTTTGGCTTTAGGTCTAAATTAAATAAACAATGTTTTCTTGTTTGCTTTTATATTTAGAATGCAGAAAATTGGAAGGACGCTTGAAATAAAGGGTATAAAAATACATAATGTACGACCTGCAAAGTGTCATATACACCTTGGACAGCTTTCTGGCAACCATTTTACACTAATTTTGAGAAATGTTAGAAATCACAGCAGTGACACCTTTAAATTGGATCAGAGCATTGAAGATGCAGTGCGCAACGTCAAGGTAAGAGTTTAACAAAACATAGCTGCCCAATTTCTGTGTTCTAGGCATATGTTAGAAGTAAGTTAAAGTATATGGTCCTAAATGAGACTGCAGCTCAGTCGAGCATCTAGATGACCTGTATTTCAGACTTGCATAGATTTTGACAGGCTGCTCACAGTGGGGCTGGACACTGCACTTGTGTCTCCCAGACACATTCAATCACTGGGATTTGACACACACCAGCCAACCAGCCAATGTGCACAATGCCTTTTAACAATTAGTTGTTTGCACTGCCACTTTAAATTGGAGAGATGGAAAGTCAGGTCATCCAGTAATATTTTTCTTCTTCATCTAAACTTATCATTACAGGTGAGTGGATTTCTAAACTATTACGGACCTCAAAGATTTGGAAAAGGCAAGAACATGCAATCACAGGAAGTTGGATTAGCCTTGCTAAAAGAAGAAATGGTAAGAATACCAATATACAGTAAGGGAGTCATGGTAATGGACTTTTCTGAGCATTACAAGTACCATTTTCTTTCTGTTACATTATTGGCTAGAGTGACATGTAGGTGTGGACATAACATCATATCAAGTCTTAAATCATCTAGTTAAACTGACACCTACAGCAGAAATGCATGCTGGCAACAAAAAACTGTTAGCCAGCACAGGATAACCCCTCGAACAATCGACATGTCTCAATCCTGTTTTTTACTAGAGTGGACAGGTTTTCTTCAACTTTGTTGGTTTAGAAGGTTTTTCCACTATCAACAGCTTCTGGTAGATTCATGCTGTTTTTGTTAAATCCTGGAGGTCTTTAGTCAGCCAACAAGCACAGGTTTTCCCAGTTAACTGGTGTTTTTTGTAACTATCCTGCCCTTTTGGAAGTTTATCCAGTCATCAACTGCTACTGGTAGATTCTTGTTTTTTTGTCCTGCAAAGGCAACATGGGTTAGCTTCTTTTTTCTGCTGCGGGATTTACCATGTAAACGTTATCATTTTATTTTTTCCTGCCCTCTCCCTTCTACCTAGCCACACTGATGATAAAGCAATAAATGGGTAAGAAGTGTGCACCTTGACACACAGGAGCGTGTGCACATACAGGCTACAGATTTCCAAAGCCCTGTGTCATGGGTGGCAGAGTTATCATGCATGTGCCTATTGCTACCTTGTTACCCCACAAAGCTTGGTCCTATAGAAACTACAGTGGTGGAAAGGCCAACAAGTGCATGCAGACGTCTAGCTACATGTGGGGTCAGCTGTGACAGCCCTGTCCAAAAGTGGGACACACATGACCATGCATCCTGGGTTCTTGTCACAGTGCCACCCTGGCTGACCTAGGTGGGAGGTGAACTGTCCTGGGAGAAGGTACCTGCGCTATCGCTGGGAATGGAAAGTACCCACAGTCTCTATCCCCCCCCTCCCCTTTACGCTCCTCTCCCTTCCCTCCTCTTCCTATGAGGTGTGTGAATCTTCTGTCTCTATATGTCATTGGGTTTGCTACATTGCCAGTTGTGGCATTGCCTGTCTAGCCACTCATCTACACCGTCACAAAAGTGCTGGTACAGCATTACCCCCACTGCACTCTTGTGGCATTGTCATTGTGGTATATTTACAATCCCGTTGAGGAAACAGTCTGACTGGGCTTTGTTGGACAATATTGCTTTGACTGTCCAGCAGTTACAAGGGTTCAGATAATTCTGAACCTTCAGAAATCGCCACTGCAACCGACCTTTTCTAGTCCTGAATATAGCTCAGGCCAGAGTGTTTCAACCACAGAAGAAACTGCAGACTCTCTGCTCTCTGACTTCAGATTCTAGCTCTCCAATCTGGAAATTTTCTGACTCTCCACTTTGCATAAGTGTCTCGGACCTTATGAAAGCCTCCTTCGAAATAGCCCCTTTTGTCTAGTTTCACTCCAGACCTCTACAACACAACATTCTATTGTCACTAAACAAGTCCTAAAGTTGTGCAAGCACTTGGACAGGCTGCCGCTGAGAACCAGGTTGTTCCTGGCCTGGTGGCTCAGGAATCCAGTTCTGGTATTGGGAAAATCCTTCCTTCCCATCTTACAAAGGATCCTATCAATGAACAACAGTCTGTCAGACTTGAGAGGAGTGCTGAGCTCTCTGTCAGAGCAGGGGACTAGGTCATCGTCAGAGTTTCATCTCCCTATCAACATTCTGAATTTTTGGCTGAATTGCAAAGATTCTGCAGGGTTGGACCATCCTGCTGGAAGGTCATTCAATCCAGAATGTTGGACAGTGCCACAGCAGTGACTTACATTAGCCACCACTACAGGCTGCCTACCTCAGCACCTGGATAGAGGGGGTGATCCTTATAACTGGAGGTGTTCCCAAGACCTGTGTCACAGGTGGGTAATGCTGGATTTGGACCTCCACGTTCCACAACTATTTCCATAACTCTCTTTTGGCCCAGGCAGTGGTGGTGGTACATGGACCTGGTTAATACTCCTGGTGGATGTCCCATTTGCTCCCCTAGTTCGCTAGTATCTTTTGCCTTAAGACCGATTTACCATTCTGCTTCACAGTCGCTGGCTTTAACAGCATGACTGTTGAAGGCCAGGTTTTAGGAGACAAGGACCACTCTGAATCTATGATTCCTAATATGGTCACAACTAGGAAGTCTACTTCCTGCAAGGTCTATTATCAGTATATTGAAAGCATACTTTACTTGGTGCGGGTCTCTGGGCTTAAACCTTAGCAGTTTCTGTGGGATGAAATGTCCTCTTTCCTGCAGCTGCGTCTTGACCAACTTTTGGCTATCAGCATTATCAAGGGTCAGGATTTTGCCCTTTATATACTGTTTCAGAGATTGATGGCCTGTCTTTTTTTAATTTCAATAGGTTTTTATTGTTTTCAAATTATAGTGAAACAATTCAGAAGGAAAACAGACAGTCACAAACTGTAAGAACAGGAACACAGTGAATGGCATTTATATCTAATGAAAACCATCATTATCAATTAAGTACACAATATGCTATAGGTGACCAAAATTGAAAAGTGGTAGTAAAAGTAGACAGTCACAGTAAACCATGAGATGTTATATAAGAAAAATTACAGAACAAAGTTTAGAATATGAAACTATAAAAAGATAAATTCAACGGTTTATGATTCAGGTCCTAAGACATATGCCAGTTACTGATGGAGATTAATATGAAAAAGGAAGGAACAGGAGTTTTACAGAGTTTTGTGGGATGTATACCACTCATTCCATGCCTGCCAATTCTTATTAGAGGTAGAGTATTTTCCAGCAATTGTAGCTAGCATACATTCATATGTATATGTGTGAAGTGTCTGTCTTGTATCATTGATGTTTGGAGAGGATGGTGACCTTCATATACATAGAAAAGTCAGTTTTTCTGACAAAAATAAGTGAGTTGTGAATTGTCTAAAGAGAGTGGGGTTGTCCATTATTCCTAGGTTTAAGATGGCCAATTTGGGGGGGGGTATAGATAGTCCGATGACCTGACTGATTATTTAAAACACTGTGAGCCAAAAGTTAGCTAGTTTGCTGCAGGATCGGAGAATGTGGTAAAGTGTACCAATCTGTGTGCATTTCCTCCAACATAGTGGAGATTGTGAGGTTTGAAATTTAACCAATTTATATGGGGTTAGGTACCATCTTAACATAATTTTATGAGCAAGTTCCCATAAATTAGCACATGTAGTAGAGGTGAATGTGTACAACAAGCTTTTTTTTCCCCCTCCCGTAGAAGTCTATGTAACGTAGACTGCAGGGTGTGGAAACATTTCTTGTTTGCAGGGATAGGTACCAATCTAAATACATAAAGAATTTGGACTAATATTTGCATCTTGAATGCTACCAGTCTGCCAGACCGTGATAAAAGTATGTTTGCTTAATTGTAGTAGACCTTCTTTTTAGTTTCCAAAGGTAGATAATTGACTCTAAATAATTGGTCAGGATGAGGTGTGAGGGTAATACCCAAATAAGAAATTCCAGATTCTTTCCAAAGATATGGAAATTTAGATTGTAAGCTTTGTCTGTCTTGTGGGAGCTCCCCCATATCTAGTATATGGGATTTAGTGTAATTTTCTTTGTAATATGATCCCATGCCATACCTTTGTAATAGCCCTGATACATATTCTAGGGAAGATTCCGGATTAGACAATATTAAGGTAACATCATTTGCAAAAAGGCTTATGCCAAGTTTACGACCTTTGATCAGAAAGCCAGTAATGTCAGGGTGTTGTCTAATACTGGAGCCAAGGGTTCCATCATAAGATTGAAAATTAATGGGGATAAGAAGGGGCATCCCTGGCAAGTGCCATTAGCTATCCATATTAGCTTTGATAATACTCCTGATGTATGTACTTGTGCAGATGGAAGGGTATACAAGGCCAATATGGCAGATAGCACATGACCCTGAAAGCCAAATTTAAGAAGCACTTTTTTCAGGAACAGCCAATTCACTCTATCAAACGCATTCTCTGAATCTAAAGCTAGCAGCAGAGAAGGCATCCGGTGCTTCTTCGCCAGGTGAATGATGTTGATCGGCCTCCCAGTAGTGTCAGAGGTATGTCTCCCTTTAGTAAAACCAGACTGATCTGGGTAAATTAAGGTGGGTAGAATATTTACAAAATTTAAGTGCAAGCATTTTAGCGTATATTTTTAGGTCATTATTTAAGAGAGATATGGGCCTAAAATTATGAGGAGTGTCTGGTGACTTCCCTGGTATTGGAAGCGTTACTATGAAGGCTTTTAACATTTCTGAGGAGAAGGAAGCCGACATAGCTGCTTCATCATACACTCTATTGAGAAAGGGAGATATTATTATGTGTTTAAATTGTTTATAATATTCCCCAGTTATTTAGGGCCAGGGGATTCATTATTGGGTAGTGTATCTATGACCTGTAGAATTTCAGGTAGTGAAAAGGGAGAATTTAATTTTTCAAGCTGTGTTGGAGACAGTTGTGGTAGATTTAGATCAGTTAAAATGTTATCTATATCAACCGAAGAGGGTTGATGAACTTGAGTATCGTGACTCATGTTATAAAGAAACCTAATGTGTTGGGGGTCATATACTTTGTTGTTAGACTTGGGGTTGATTAGAAATGGAATTCTCGTTTTAAAAAGCTGACCTTGTATTATACATGCTAATACCTTACCCGCCTTGTTACCGGAGGAGTATAAATTCACTCTTAGTCTTCTATTGTGTTTTTCAAAAATATTTAGTAGAACTAACTTCAAGTCATGCCTGAATTTAGAGTTTGGTAGTTATCTGGTTAGATGGGTTTGTTTTGTTGTGGTTTTCTAAGGAGCGTATTTCTGAGAGTAGGGTGTCAATTTGTCACTGCCTCTGTTGCTTTGTCCTCAAGTTCCGCTGAATAAAGATGCCTTTATGGGCATTCCATAAGGTGTATGGTATGTCAGTAGAGGAAGAGTTGAAGTCAAAATATTCAGTAAAAGTGCTTATCCAAAAATTT